TTGTTCAAATAACAAATTATTTTTTTGTTTCCAAAGCAAACAACTTTATTTTAAATGATTCGAAATTATTTTATTCATCGAAGCGAATATGAATAATTATTCCGCTGAAATTCGTTCCAATCTCGGAATCAAATTAAAAAATTTATAAAGTGTTGACTGAAATTGTGGTCCCATTCGATTCACAGTTAATTTGCTATTTTTAAATTTTTTACCAGCAAAAACGCACGATAAGTGTTAATTTTGTATGAATCACAGTTATTATTTAATATGGATATTCACATGTTTTTAATTGATTGAACAAAGAGCGAGAAAAACAGCCCTAATCAAGTTCATTGCAACGTCAAAAGCAACTGATTCATTCCGTTTTTTTTTTTTTCGTGGAAGTTTCGTTTCGATCAGAAATATCACAACTTCTCTGGGTCAATCAGCTCAGCTAGTCGATATGAGTGTTTGTCTACGTTTCACGCCTCTTAAAAACGATGAAAACTCTTGAAAACGATGCGATGAACATTACCATTGAAAAATTGCTGTTGAAGCCGTTTAATTTTATGGTCTGGTTGAGGAATTGCGCAGAAAGCAGCATACTTTCTGATTTCGAATTGGCATATGGAATTTGGAATTTATCCACGCAAATAGTTGTGCAAATAGAATGAGAAAAAAAAGAGTTTACAGCACAAAAAAGTGGTGCAAAAAGAAGAGTTATCTTTCATTTGTGTAGTTTCTTATCATTTTTATTCCCTAAAACGAATGAGCAATGCGCATTCGGCGTGTGGTCGCGGTTAAACAAACACATGCACACACCATGTATGTACGAGCTAGCTCGCTGATACATAGTTCAATTAAAATCGCATCAGTCTACGGAATAGGAATTGCTTTTGTCGGAGCCAGTTTCTTAATAGAACGAGCCAGAGGAAGAAAAATCTCATTGCTTTAAAAGCATATATACTCGCAATTTGTGCGCTCAAAGCAGATCAAATGCGTTTTGTTTGAATGCATACATTACGATGAACAAGCAAAGACAACCGCGTTAAACGTGATAAAATGGCGCAAAGTCAAATATGTGATCATAAACATTCAACTGCATGAGAAAAAAAAGCCCCTGGAAATGAGCAGAAGATGAGAGAAAAAAAAAGAAATGAAATTTGCGATGCATGGCGCGCCGCAGCAAAATGTGATTTGCAATCGAGAAGACAAGCGTTTTGATTTTTCATCATGACTTCTTCTTATCAGTAGTGTGTAGAATGAACCCAAAGAGCCATAGACGATGGTGGCGCGCGCGAGAGAGTTCAACTACTCTTGTATGCAGCAGCAGCATCAACACTTGTAGCTGGAAGTGTCGACGTTAGACATTTTTTATGCCTCACTGAGTGATAAATATGGTTTCATGTGGCAAAAAATATTGCGTGCCGATAAAAAGAAACGAACGAACAAAAAAAAATGGCAATGGCAACATTCAACGAACGGCGTGTAAAGTATTACACATGTTACAGTTGCTATCGTACACTGATATCGGGTTTTATGTATATATTGTACATTTTATTTTTATCGTTGTTCAGTTTTTTTTTCTTCTACAAATGTATTCATTCTCTTTGCATCTTTGGACTTGTGTCTCATAAATTAAACAGTGTTGCAGAGAGATGAAGAAGAAGAAGAAGGGAACAAACCGAACGGGGAATTGAATCAAATTGTACGATTTACAACTAATTCATTCATTTTGATTCGGTTCGATCGAAGTGTGAGTACCAGTCAGGCGGCGGTTTTCATTCGGACATGTTTGTAACGTTTTAATCAAGTGAAAATTGATTCATAGCCATTCGAATGGTCGCTACAAATAAATATACTATAACAGAACACAGTTGAAAGAAACGTGCAGCACAAACACACTAGACCTGGGCTGCAATTTGTATCGCGAATATGGAATGCGATAAATTAATTGAATCAAATTGAAATGTTGTATGGAAGGCATGATCAAGACTTATTTGTCGCTCGGCGGAATGTGTAGAATTCTACGAATCGCATCGCATCACATCGCAGAGAAAATATCTGCGCATCGCCAGTTTTAGTTTTAGCAAGTGTCAAGACATATACCATATCGTCTATTCATATAGTGAGAGAGAGAGAGAGAGAGATGCTATCGATCCATAATTTTCTTTCTCCTCTCCTTTTGTCGCTTGCATCATTTCTTTATTATATTCATTCAATTGACAAACAAATTACGTTTTCTTTCATCGGCCGAATTCCTTCCGTTAATAGTTGCGTTTGGCGCATTCTAGAAGTGGTTTTCTCTGAAAACGGTTTTTCTGATTTCTATGCTAATTTTACCACATCTGGAGCAAGCAGCGCACTGCGATGAATGAACTCTTTCAATGCATACGGAAACGCGTACTTCCTGAGAATGGCATCGCAATGGAATATATCTACACTGAAAAAAAAAAAAGAATTTCTCTTTTTTTCCCCCATATACGATCACACTCACATACACAAACGCAGATTTTTCGAACCGAAATATTTTCGAAGCTATGAAAGAAGATACAAAATGCTCAAAAGACGAGAAGAAGAAAAAAATTACATATAATTTTAATATTCTAAAAGGTTTTTTGTATGTAGCGATGCTTCGTTTCTTTGTTGTTGTTGTTCATGGTGGGCTCCTTTCAAATGGAACGTTAAGTGCTTAACTATTGCATTTCAATATTCACAATAAATCGTGAAAATCAGACTTGTGCTATTTACCCAAACATCACATTGCATCGTGATTGTGGGCACTGTGAGAAAAACCAATATTTGTACCTTCACAAGAATAATATTGACTCAGTGAGCGTTGGCTCGTCGCTGTCGTTGTCGTAGCCGTCTTTATCGTTTGTTATCTATGATTTCGGTTGAAATTGTGGTATTCAGTCAGTATATTCATTTTGTAGCAACAATTTACCGAGGGATTTCAGCCGTTATTTCCATCGTATTCATTGACACATTATTTACTCGATGAGTAATCTGTCGGTAATCTAACATGAAATATTGTTTGCAATAGTTTGAATGGAACATGGATTTTGCATCTCAAAATGCTGTGCAACATATTTATCTGTCGAGTGTAAACGGGTCTGGTTTTGTTGGAGTCTGATTTTCGATGAAACATGAAATGTAAACAATGAGAGATGACAACAAATTTTTGGGTGCTCACCTGATTCTCCCACAAATTCCGTCGACTCTGGTGATTAATCCTGGACGAGAGAGATAAGTACGTTGTGACAAATGAACGAAAAAAAAAAAACTTGTTATTAACACAAATTATGAGCTTCGGGCCAAACAAGTGCACCACACAATCAAAACGAACTTAGACGACTTTATGAATTCGGTGTTTTGATAACAATTTTTTTTTACTGACGTTGACGAACATATCCACTTAGTTTGCCGGCATACCATAATCATTTCTTTTTCTCCACCGATGAGAATGTTTTTGTGCCTATGTAATCCGCTTATTGCATTTAGACGAGTTTTTTTTTCTTTCTTTCGTTCTATCTATTTTATTATTCAGTATACGAATGATAACGAGTTTTTATTTCAAACGTCTGTGCTTCTTTTTCGTTCATTTCAACCGAATGAAACAACGGAAAAAAATCTGTTTAATATTGAGATAATGGGCTCAATTAGTTCGAGAAAAATACTGTCTTTATGATACTGCTATCTAGTTCTGTTTGGCAGTCGCAAAACGATCACATTCTTCATGCACTAGTCAAAAAAAAAAAAATCCACATTCGTTGTCATGTGTGATAATAATGAACAATCGCGAACACATTGAATCGCTTTATATTTTTTTCGTGCCTGTGGTGTTGCGGATATTCATTGCATACATGTTCCGCACAAAATATAAATGACTAACGTACTGAACTGTTGTGTGATGCAGAGAAAAATTATATTCTATGATTTTGCATATAGTATTAATCACTTGGCGAGCAGATAGTGTCCGATTGCATATATGTAAAACTGTGTTACAAGACAAATAAAATACACTCTGGTTCATGCTCTAGTTTATAAAATGAATAAGACTTTACATAATCAAATATACGCGGCTAGGTGTAAATTAAACTAGAGTTTTTTTTTCATATTCAAAGCACACATAAGTGTTTAGAAAAACACACGGTTTTTTTTTCTCTGCCTTTAAAAGCAAACGTATTAAGAATTATCGAATGAAATAGACAAATATAACGATAAAATGTGATAAAATGTAGATTCTGAAGCTTAATAATTCAAAGCCCGAACGATCTACGAAAAAAAACGAACGAAAATAAGAAGAATTCAGCTGCACAAAGATTAAAACACTGCTTTTTACGAGCGATAGAATATTCTAAATAAAAAGTTAGTCAAATGTTTACAATGTTTCTCTTCTTCGCGGAGAGTTATCGGTTTTGTTGGAAATTTGAAGGCGTACGCGGGCGCGCGACACACGTATCGGGTCTATTGCATTCAAGCGATATTTGCCGACTGATGTATTGCTTCGTCAGACATGCTTTGTGCACCAACTGGATTTCTGAATCACATTCACAGCTTATACTGTTAGATGCTGCTGCTGTTTTAGCGGCTCTCTCACCACATAGCGCACAGTGAATGACAACGGAGACAACGGAGTGTGCATTGGAACTCTCTCGCGTGCGCTCTTATATTTCACATGTAACATCTAAATGTAACTAGAGTTAGAGTTAGGCGCGTTCATCGCCATACATTGCAATTTTGCGGTTCATTAGAGTGGTTCGGAGTTTGTGCCTTTCCATGCGTCCACAAATATGATTCGCTGCATGCAATTCTGATAGTGATGTCGTTACACAACCAAGCAGATGGATCACAATTATGGTTCAATCATATTGACTATTGGGCGATAAATGAAAAATACACGAATTAACGATTATTGCAATTTTTTACGTTGTTATTTACTCAATCATTATTATTATTTACGTGAGCAGAAAATTTTCAAGTAATTTTTTTAATACAGTTTTTTTAATTTCATTCAGATTTTTCTTTTCCAATGAATCGAAGTCAATGTGCTTCAGTGTAATAAAAATAAATTCAAAACAAAACGATTTAAAAGTCCATATTTGGATTCGAAATAATGGTAAAAAAAATTCCATTCGAAGGAATTGCGCTTTTCGATTCATATCCATGGAGAATAAATTATTCACCATTCAACATTCCATCGTCCACATAAGCTTCAGTCCAGTTCAGTTCAGTTCGGTTGACATGACAAACCGAAGTGAAGTTGGTTGTCACCGAACATCAACAAAACACAGCTAGCATTGCAAGAAAAGTCACTGTACAAGCCGTAGCTAACGTGGGAATTGTTTTATACTTTTTTTTTTATTCCAAAATTGCAAAATTTTAAATTGTTTTCATAAATTGTTGTTGTAAAACGTCTGGAAATCAAGAAAAGTTTTGAAATTCGAAATGGCCGGCAATTTTTGGCAATCGAGTCACTATCAGCAATGGTTGCTAACGAAAGACGATTTAGTGCGAGACCGTCGATATGATTTGCAATTTCTCACACCAGAAGAATACCAGAAGCTTAACATTTTCTTTGCAAATTTGATCCAAGTGCTGGGCGAACAGTTAAAACTACGGCAACAGGTCATTGCAACGGCAACCGTTTACTTTAAGCGATTTTATGTGCGCAATTCATTCCGTAGCATCGATCCGCTGTTGATGGCACCGACATGCATTTTTCTAGCATCAAAAGTTGAAGAATTTGGTGTTATTTCTAATTCCCGCCTCATATCAACGGTAAGATTGGCCGCGTTTTCAACACCAATAAATCTTTGTGTTCAACTAATCATTCTGTCTCTCCAACGTAGTGTCAAAATGTCATCAAAAATAAGTTCAGTTATGCTTATCAACAAGAATTCCCTTACCGAACCAATCACATTTTGGAGTGTGAATTTTATCTACTGGAAAATCTGGACTGTTGCTTAATTGTTTACCAACCATACAGACCACTATTGCCAATCATCCAGGATATTGGACACGAGGATCAGCTGTTACCGCTTACATGGCGCATCATCAATGATTCCCTGCGAACAGATGTTAGTTTACTCTATCCGCCGTATATGATCGCCATCGGATGTCTTCAATTGGCTTGGTTCGTATTACAAAAAGCAAATTGATTTGAAGTGACTTTTGTGCAGAATTTCAACTTTCAGTGTTGTTTTTGCAGTGTTATTCTACAAAAAGATGTGAAATCATGGTTTGCCGAGATCAATGTCAACATGGAAAAGATACAGGAAATTTCAAAAACCATCTTAGGGCTATATGAACTTTGGCGCACGTACGATGAAAAGAAGGAAATTCAAGATCTGCTCAGTAAAATGCCCAAACCGCGACCACCGCCACAGCAGCAGCAACAACAACAAACGCAACAAAACCAACAGACACAAAATCAATCCCAACAATGAATAAGATTCTCAAAATTTAAGTGCTAGGTTTATCTAAATAAGCGTAGATAGTGGAAACATGACTTTTGATAGCTCTTCGCGGATCAAGTTCGAATTCGTTTTAAAACATTTTCAAAGTACACACCATGTAATGTTCAGAAGAAGTTATCTCATTGACTCATTTATCATAATAAATTCATATAAATCATGAAATATAATTTGGATTTTGAATCGTACCTATCGTCGATAGGCTATCGAATATGACGATACTTGGGCTGTTCAATTTGAAACATCCGAAATCTGTTGAAGAGAAAACTTTTGTGTGGATACCTGTGAATACGATTCGCATTGATCACATTTTGAACCATTGATGACAAACAATGCCATCTTGAAATCGCATGTGTCTCAGAGAAGGAATCAACATGTTTTCAAATCATTAGGAAAAGTAAGAGAGAAGATGGGTTCAGCGATTCTTTGCATCGACTGGCATACAGTGAACGTATTGATCCATTGCTAACGAAAAAGATTAATTTCTGTTGATAGTAATTAATCCTCGCGTTAAGAATAGGAAAGTTTCACTTTGCTGTGTCTTATCTCCAAAAGATGAGCAAACGGTTGCGTTACTGAAAAATGTTTCTATTCAATCTGTTTGGTTGGTATTGATTCAAATGTTTTTTTTTCTTCATGCATAAGTCAATCCTGAATTGATTGTTCTCTGAGTTCGAAAAATGCTGTACTATTTGTGGTTTACCATATTGCAATGAATGATACAAAATGTTTCCATCTGGACGAAGATCAAAATGTATCAATACCAATTCTCTTATGATTCAGCGTGCTTCGCCATGAAGCCCAATATTATCTCAAGCATTTCAACAATTTTGGTCACCTAAAACAGAAAATCACCCACGACGATCAGAAAAAAGAACCACATTTACGCCGAATGGGAAAAAGAGAAATGAAACAAATGATGCGTGTATATTCCGTTGTTTTAACTGGTTTATTATATTTTGTTTTAACTTGAAATCAAAATCACATTTTCATCCACTGAATGTGTCACTATGACAAAAAAAAGGTTTGAAAACGCGACGATGACAATTAAATCAAATAAAAATACCGGATCGTAGTCGATATTCGTATATATTGATTTTGATGGTAAAAAAAAGTAGTTTAAAACGGAATAGCTCCATTTTATTCGTTTTCTTGTGAACGAAGACGTCCGTTGGGGTTTGTCAAGCGGATTGACAACTGCTTGGCGCGTTCAACGATGTCTTTTCGCTTCTTTGATGAAACGTTATGGGCGATTTCGGCGCTGTAGACACGATTTTGCATCAACAAAACTTCCAATTCGCGAACATTGTGCACTAAGAATTTTTTGAATCCATTGGGCATCATGTGGCGTGTACTCTTGTTTGAACCGTAACCGATGTTTGGCATCAAGTATTGGCCCTTGAAACGACGACGCACTCGGTTGTCAATACCCTTAGGCTTACGCCATTTTGGCTGAAGGTAAGAAAAATGAGGGAAAAAGGAGAGAAAAACAAATCAATTTAGTTTTCATTCATAGTTTTGGAAAAACGCAGTCACCTCATTTCATTACACAGCGTGTGACAAAAACATGTATTGACAGGCGAATGCTAGGTTAGGTTTGCCTAAATTTCCGCACACACTATGGATGTTCAGATGAAGTGAATACATACCGAAAGTTTGGCATATCGGTCCGATTGATGGCGAATGAACTTCTTCGTTCTCTTCTTAACGATTTTTGGTCTGTACGCTGGGCGGATAGTCATCTTGATACCTGAATCCAAACAAGGGAGAAGAAAATCGAAAACAATTCAATTAGTATTACTTCGTATTGGGTACACAATGTGATGTGGACTTGAATGTATGTATACACAGAAGGTGTATATGACAATGTTGATCGAGAAAGAAAACTCGCAAAAAATCAAATATTTTCGCGACAAATCGTAAAAATTTCACATTACAACTAATGACAATGAATTAAACTACACGATTTTTCGTAATTTATTGAAAATTTAAGCCAGATGATTAAAATAAATCGAGATTTTTCGGAACAAGCCTACCGTTTTCGTTTGATGCACGCACAAAAAGAAATACTTGACGTTTCAGTATTGCCAACGGAACCGATGGAGAAAAAAATGTGACAGCTCGTCAGCAGCACATGTAGCAACCGAACAACAATGAATTTATGTAAATACGTAATTCACATGATACACTCTGTCACAACTGACATTAGAAAACCACTAGCTTCTGAACAGTGGGAAGAAATTGTATATATAACATACGAGTGGTAGTGGCTAAATGAATAGATCCAACAAGATGCGTTCAGTGTGCTACTTTTGATTCATTTCATTTGCATTTATTTTCCGGACTTGTTAATTTACATACGAATTGCAATATGGAGAGAGCGAAAACATTTTTTGGAACGCGAGATCACGACGGTTACGTTGGAAAAGAAGAACACTTGGTGAGTGAAAGAAAAAAGAATTGATTTTGATCCAAGCTAATATTGCTAACAGCTGATAAGCTGCGCCCACGTAATTACATTATCGATTATGTTGGCAACTGAATGAACAGGTGTTATTCACTCAATTATTGTCTTTTATTAGAAAGTGATACATGCGACTGGTTCGGAGGATGATGGCGACTTCACAGATATTGTCGAAGGTTTAACGATGAACGATGCAATCCAGCCGTCGCCAGGTGGTTCATTTTCAGCACTCACGCCTTCCATGTGGCCTCTCGATATCCTTTCACGACTCACACAGCCAGAGGTTTGTAGTTATTATTCATTTGAAATTTCAAACGAAACATTTTGAAGCAACTTTTTTTTACAGTCCGAAGGAGATCCAAACGGTCAACCAGACTACCGATTCGATGAATTTGGTTTCAGAGTAGAAGAAGAAGACGGTCCAGAGCAAAGCTCAAATAAATTGCTCAGCACACCATTCTCCGAAGATGAACAACAGCGACTGCAATGGGTTGCACACCTGGAATTTTCCCATAACAAAGAAGCAAGTGAACTGTTATGGGATAATGTAGCTGTTACGTTGCCACGAACCGAAAAGCTACGCAATATGGTTCGAGCTGGCATTCCACATTCGTTGAGAGCTCAAATTTGGATGAGATTATCGGGTGCATTGCAAAAGAAAATGAATTCCGAAACTACTTATCACGATATAGTCAAAGCATCTGGCAACGATCAATTGATGACATCGAAACAGATTGAAAAGGATCTGCTGAGAATAATGCCTACAAATGCATGCTTTAGCTCGCCAAACAGCACAGGCGTGCCACGGCTGAGGCGAATTTTAAGGGGTATCGCATGGCTCTTCCCAGACATTGGATATTGCCAGGGCACTGGTGTGATTGCTGCCTCATTACTTCTTCTCATGGAAGAAGAAGATGCCTTCTGGCTCATGGCTACCATTGTTGAGGATTTATTGCCCGCTTCGTACTATTCATCGACACTGCTTGGTGTTCAGGCCGATCAACGAGTCATGCAAACGCTCATCGCAAACTATTTAACCGTTGTCGATGAAACGCTAAAATGTCACGACATCGAACTGTCACTGATCACATTGCATTGGTTTCTGACGATTTTCGCAAACGTTGTTCACTTCCGCATTTTATTGAGGTACATTTGTCAAAGTCAAATGAGCAAACACAATCACAATGCATAAAAATAATTTTACAATCTCGCTCCAGGATATGGGATTGGTTCTTTTACGAAGGATCCATCGTTCTCTTTCAGCTAACACTGGGAATGTTGAAAATGAAGGAAGCATTTTTGAAAGACTTGGAAAATTCAGCGCAAATCTTCAATTCTCTATCAGACATTCCGGGTGGCATCGATGATGTCGAAGCCCTTTTTGAAATCTCAATGGAAGTTGGCGGCGTATGTAACAAAGCACTTGTGAAATGAATTGAAAAAGTTGAAAACTTATTAAAAAAAAAATCTCATTCTTTCTTTCAGTCGCTCAGCAAAACAGTGATCGAAACTCACCGTCGCCGTCATTTGGCCTATTTAATGGCTGATCAAGGTGGTTTAGTTGGTAATCCCGAGGCAACTGCCAATTTGCCGAAACAACAATTGTCTCGTCGTCAGGTGAAAAAATCGAAATCAATGTTCCAGACGCTGCTTTTTGGCGGAGACAGCGCCGACGATGACATTCGAAACAAAAACATTCGTCAGACCGAAATTTTAGTCGATTTACGTGAATCAATTCTGAAGGTGTGCCGCCACTTCTTGACCATTGAACCGAAATTGAACGCTCATATAAACCAAGTAGCCGATTACTCAACCGATAGCCATGCGAAAGATCATGAGAACTTTATAAATGTTTCACGCACTCGAAAGCGACGTGCCAAAGCGTTGCACGATTTCGAGCGAAATGATGATGATGAATTGGGATTCCGGCGCAACGATATCATAACCATAATCTCACAAAAGGATGAGCATTGTTGGATTGGTGAATTGAATGGATTGAGAGGCTGGTTCCCTGCAAAATTTGTCGAATTATTGGACGAACGGAGTAAATTGTATACATCAGCCGGTGATGATGCTATTTCTGAGACTGTAACTGATTTGGTGCGAGGAACATTGGCACCGGCCATCAAACAAGTGCTTGAGCATGGCATGAAACGCCCTTCATTTCTTGGTGGACCATGCCATCCGTGGCTTTTTATTGAAGAAGCTGCCACAAGAGAGGTAGAAAAGGACTTTGAATCGGTTTATAGTCGCTTAGTTTTGTGTAAAACGTATCGATTGGATGAAGATGGAAAAGTGTTGACGCCTGAAGAGCTTCTGTATCGATGCGTTCAGTCGATAAATCAAACTCATGATGCATCTCATGCTCAAATGGATGTAAAATTACGGTCTTTAGTGTGTCTTGGTTTGAATGAGCAAGTGTTGCATTTGTGGCTGGAAGTGTTGTGCTCATGCATGGAAATCGTACAGAAATGGTACTACCCGTGGAGTTTTGTGAATTCACCAGGTTGGGTGCAAATCAAGTGTGAACTCCGTATACTGTCACAATTTGCATTCAATCTAAATCCGGATTGGGAATTGCCGCCGAAAAAAGGAGTCGAAAGTCAACCGTTGAAAGACGGTGTACGGGATATGTTAGTCAAACATCACTTATTCTCGTGGGATTTGTGAGAGAAAAATAACAACAACAACAACCAGACACATTCTTATGAACTCCAGTCAATCCAGGGCGTAGAAAATTTATTCATATTTTAGTCATGCAAATGGAAAACGTTTTTGACGCAGCTATTTATCATCATATTAATAAGTAATATCAGCACGTTTACCCTTCTTTTAATGTATATTTTGAACATCATTATTGTATAGTTGGTTCACCTTTCGACTGTGCTTAATATGTTTATTCGTTTTTATTTATCCAGTACAAATCAACTACTTGACATTTATTGAGAAAAAAAAATTCTGCATTATTTATTATATAAAACATTTAACGACCATGAACTGCTTCGTTTGTTCTCATTTGATTCATATCGATATTTATTTTCTTTCCATTACGGTGTGTGAGACATGTAACCCGTTTCGAAATTACGAAAAACAAATTCGACGCATGTGACCTCTGGTGATTTTTCGTTGAATTTCCCCTCTTGGAGAAACGAATCGTAATAGCGATGTAGCTTGTATTTTTGACAAGTTTATATCAACAACCAGAAGCCGAACGATAAACATACCTGAGTCTCAATAATTCGTTTTAATTTTGTTTAAAAAGTCAATTTTTTTTAAAGAATAAACTTGGAAGAACGTTCGGCAAACTAACCACAAAACATGTTCTATCACGTAAGTAGAAATAAGAGAAATTTGTTGCAAAAAACCATCGGAAAAGAAAATCAGAAAAAAAACCGCTTCAAAATGTTACTCATAACCTAATATATCTTTGTTTTAGATTTCGTTGGAACATGAAATTTTGCTGCATCCAAAGTACTTTGGGCCACAGTTGATGGAAACGGTGAAACAAAAACTGTACACAGAAGTTGAAGGAACGTGCACCGGAAAATATGGATTCGTAATTGCTGTGACAACAATTGACAATATCGGTTCGGGTCTCATTCAACCGGGACAAGGGTTTGTGGTGTATCCAGTGAAGTATAAAGCCATTGTTTTTCGACCGTTTAAAGGTGAAGTTCTGGATGCGGTCGTCACACAGGTGAACAAGGTAAGAAAATGTTTACTTTGTGCATTGCAATTTGATCTAGATATCGAAGCGGAAAGATCACAGTTCATTACACTAACTGTTTACAGGTTGGAATGTTTGCTGAGATCGGCCCATTGTCATGTTTCATTTCACACCATGTAAGTTGAACGCTCAACCATCGCAGTGTTGGAAGACAACCAATAAATTATTGACAAAATTAATTAATAACTTCTTTTACGTCATTACAGTCCATCCCAGCTGATATGCAATTCTGTCCAAATGGAAATCCACCGTGTTACAAATCACAAGAAGAGGATGTTGTTATCGCTGCTGAAGACAAAATTCGCCTGAAAATCGTCGGAACGAGAGTTGACGCAACGGGCATTGTTAGTGTTTCTTGCCAAAAACCCATAAAACCCATTCAAAAAAACATTGGCATTTATCGTATTTGTTTGTTTTTCAGTTCGCGATCGGAACGCTCATGGACGATTATTTAGGCTTAGTCGGCAGTTAATTCGACAAATACCGAGTCATTCATGCTATAAAAATCAAATCCAAAAAAAAGAAACTTAAATTTTAATCCAATTTTCCATTTTTTTTTTGTAAATGCACCAATTTAAAATAATAAACCATGTCAAAAGGAAGTATCAATAAAAAAAAATTGTTTGAAGAAAATGAAATGTCAAAATTACGTATACGTATTGAATCGATGACATGTGAGTGTGAGTGTGTGTGTGTGTGTGTGTGTTGACTTGTGTACGCTCTATTGTTGTTATGTCATGATAAAAGTGCGGCGAAATAGTTTTGTATGGTCCTCTTGTGTTCTTTCTTTTTGTTATAGTCAATGACTTAGCTGAATTATTTAAATTAATTTATAAAATTGGCGTGATATATGTTCGTTGTTATTTGATGAAAATTTTACTTTTTATTTCATTGAACTGAACAACAGATATTGTTGATTAGAATTCTAAAATCATGTGTGGGAATTGTTTGCATTTTTAAATATTACGTATTGCGATAAACTTTCTAATTATATCAATAAGGTAATAAGAATTGTGAATCAAGCGACCTTTTATCAGTGTTAAACTGTCGTGATCTAGTTCATTCTATGAAATGTATTTGTGACTTTTAATTCAGAATTGATTCAATTGTTGTTGGATTTTCACGTGAAAAATATGTTTTTTTTTAATTTGCAGAAAATTTTCAAATCATCAGAATGGATATTCTGAGAAATATTTCGTATTGTCCGCCAAATGTGACGATCTACGATATTTGGGTTAATCATGGATTGTCCCACTGTTTCCTCGATACCGTCAGTTCGGCCGTATTGGCCGGATTCATTATGATAGCTGGAACGATTCAACTAATTATGTACCGCAAATATGCAATTCCAATAGAAGACCCATCGCAAATATCCCGATCGAAATTATACTATTTGCAATTGTTTTTATTGACAATAATTCCATCGCTCGCCGTTCTTCGATTTATTCTGGAATCGTTCCTATTCCCGGATGCCCATCTCTATGGATACACGGTAAATTTCATTGAAAAACAATTCATTCCATGAAAATAGCAACTGAAGCATTGGTGACCATTGGTTAAAAAAAATAAAATGTTCCCTTTCCAGATTTTAGCTTCATCGCTAACATGCATCTCGTTCCTATTCTCCATTTGGCTAGTGTTGAAAGAACGATTCTATTTGTTGCCGTCAGTTCCAACTAGAGGTCATGGTTTAGTTTTACTCATTTTTTGGACACTGGTCTTTGTCAATGAAAACATTTCGGTGATGAACCTGAAGAAGGAACAATGGTGGATTTATGTTTTTGCAACAATTCGCGACAAAGTTGAAATGTCAATGTTTGTAACTCGGTACGTGTGCAGCTTACTCATTTTCGTATTGGGTCTCAAAGCACCGGGCATTGCGTCGAATCGCGAAGATGACTATATTCATCTGGAAAATGATGGAAACAATGTAAGATGAGCTATTTTGATCGAATATCGCATTGTTGCACTCAATTAACTTTCTCTTTAAAAGGAAAATCGTTCGACTTGGGCAAACGGATGGAGAAAACTACGAACTCTCATGCCATTTTTATGGCCAAAGAAGAGCTTTGGACTACAATTTCGAGTCGTGTTCTGCATTTCTTTGTTGGTTGCGGGTCGTTTTATTAATGTGTTGGTGCCAATTTATAACCAAAAGATCGGTAAGCCTCGATTTTACATTCTATAAGCAAAGATAACCATTCCTCACGATAACAATTTCCATTTTTAGTCGACAGCCTCGCATCGAAATCATTCTGTTGGGATTGGATTTTGATTTACGTTGGCTTCAAGTTTCTCCAAGGTGGCGGCACCGGTTCAATGGGTCTTCTCAATAATCTACGATCATTTCTGTGGATTAGAATCCAACAGTTTACAACGCGTGAAATTGAAGTGGAACTATTCTCGCATTTGCACAATTTGTCGTTGCGATGGCATTTGGCACGAAAAACGGGCGAAGTTCTACGTATTATGGACCGAGGCACAGATAGCATTAACAATTTGTTAAACTACATTCTCTTCTCAATTGCACCAACAATAATCGATATTTTAATTGCGGTAGTCTTCTTCTCGGTCACATTCAATTGGTATTTCGGAATCATCGTTTTCGCAACGATGGTTCTATACATAGGTAAGCAGAATATGTTGATATCCACAGCAGCAACGAATTCTAACACTTAACAGCTTCTTCCATTCAATGCCGATTTCATAAACAATTTCAGCTTTAACGATCTTGGTAACGGAATGGCGAACAAAGTTCCAACGACGAATGAATTTAGCCGATAATGCACAAAAAGCACGTAGCGTCGATTCTTTGCTGAACTTTGAAACGGTAAAATATTACGGAGCGGAAAATTACGAGGTTGAAGCGTATCGTGAAGCAATTTTAAATTATCAAAAGGAAGAATTCAATTCGATTGTGACGTTGAACATGTTAAACACGGTTCAAAATATCATCATTTGTGGTGGATTACTCGCCGGATCACTGCTCTGTGCATATCTAGTTGCCGATATCAAAACGCTTACACCCGGTCAATACGTTTTGTTTGCCACCTACATCATTCAATTGTACGTGCCGCTCAATTGGTTCGGGACATTTTATCGGTGAGTGTGATAAACACACGCATATCATTGAATATTTCTAACAGAAGGTGTATCATTTCAGGCAAATCCAGAGAAATTTCGTCGACATGGAAAACATGTTCGATTTGATAAAAGAAGAACAAGAAGTGGTGGATGTGCCAAATGCACTCGATATCTCCCCGGTTCGGGGATTGATTGATTTTACAAACGTTACATTTGGCTACACTCCAGATCGGATAATTTTGAAGAATGTTTCATTCACGGTTTTGCCAGGCAAAACCATCGCTCTTGTTGGTCCATCCGGCTCGGGAAAGAGTACAATCATTCGTCTTTTGTTCCGTTTCTATGACATTCACGGAGGAACCATTTGTGTTGATGGACACAATATAAAAACTGTCAAACAAAGCTCATTGCGCAAAGCAATCGGAGTCGTTCCTCAGGATACCGTTTTATTCAATAATACCATCATGTACAATATTAGATACGGTCGATTGAGTGCCGGTGATGCGGATGTCATTTCTGCGGCTCGTTCTGCCGATATTCACGAAAGGATTATGAATTTCCCGGAAAAATACGATACTCAGGTGGGAGAAAGAGGATTGCGATTGAGTGGTGGAGAAAAACAAAGAGTTGCCATAGGTTCGTATTGGTAAATATGATCAAAAGTATGAAGTAATTATCGAAAATTCCAAATTTTCCAGCTCGAACAATCTTAAAAGCACCTTCGATTGTGTTACTGGACGAAGCGACAAGTGCATTAGACACACAGACTGAACGAAACATTCAAGCTGCTTTGGCTAAGGTGTGTGCGAATCGAACGACGATAATAGTGGCTCATCGACTGTCCACAATCATACATGCAGACGAGATCCTTGTTTTGAAAGAGGGTGAAATCGTGGAGCGTGGCCGGCACGAAACATTGGTGTCCAGAAATGGTTAGCACATCTTACGCAAATGCTTTGAATAATTTCGAAAACTAATGACATTTTCTTTCCATCGTACAGGCATCTACGCAGATATGTGGAATCAACAACTACAAAACAGTGATACAGAATCAGTTAATGGCAATTCGGAAGTCGAAGCGAGCCAAAATTAAGAAGATTGAATCTCGGGCATTGCACATCACCACTGAAGTGAAATTCTGAAAAATTTTAGATAGTATTTTTCTGAACATTGTAGCTATAAATTAGTATAGTATACTCAAGTGTAAAAAGACAAACATATTTCAAATGAAAGCGGCAATAAATATTGTTTTTATTCACAAACATGATTTATTTTCATAATGATTGAAAATGAAAAGAAAGTATCCATAGGAAATGCTGGTTTAAAAAACACTAAACAGGTGTACAATTTTCTGAATGAACAGTGATAAATTAGGAGTTGAATTATTCTGATTGATTACTCACTCTCAGCTTTTTTTTTCTCTATCTATTAGTCATTTCTATTTGTGCATGAAATCAAAGATAATTCAATTGATAAGCGTTTATAAAAAAAAACGTTCCCTGATAAAACTCTACGAAATGGAAACACAAACAAACGAAAAATAATTGTTTATGTCGATGTAAATACACTATTAGAACGATGTTAATTAATGTTGGTGTTTCTGCGCATCGCACGCTTCTGTGGTGCTCATTTGAAAACAATTAAAATTAACCCCGTGTCGGTTTCACTCTTTCTGCTTAAAATGTCTGAATAGAATGTTCCTACAAAAAATAGTAATAAAGAACATCCAAACTGAGTTTACTGCGAACAACATCTCTTTTACGTTAACAGCAATTCGTACACACGAACGAGTCAGTGTGACAGTTGGTGTGATCGAGACAAAGTTTGACAGCAAACAATTTGGTTGTGTCCGTTCAAATGTTCTTTCTTCTTCAATGTGAAGAATTCTTAGATTTTTTTCCACTCATTTTGATGTATTGTTTAATACATTACCGCTTACAGGGTTATTATATCTTCGATATCTTGCACGCGACTCGATTTTCAAAGGAATGATTCATGCGACTGTCCATATTCATCACATATTGTGAAATCTTTCCATAAAGTAAACTTCAGTATTTGCTACACATTGCGAAATAGTTTATTATAAATTGATTCGATTCCTACATCGCAGCTCAGTATAGTTTGAAACCTCCCACAGAAGGGATGGTAATTATTTCACACAGCACATCGCTAAACATGGATATATTCAATAACATTTCACATTGTCCGCCGAAACCACCGAATATTATGGTGCATGACTATTGGTCGAATGGTTTGGTCAATATTTGGATTTCCTCTTTGTTGGCCGCATTTATTGTGACATTTGGATCGATTCAATTTATTGGCTACTACAAATACGGAACACCGATCGTAGATTCAACGAAAATACCTTCATCAAAACTGTATTATTTGCAAATGTGTTTGCTAACATTGATACCATCACTATCAGCAATGAATCTATTCCCAGATCCACACTCTTATGGTTATACGGTAAATTTGGACTCAAGTTAATTAATACGGACAAAAATTTCATTGGTTTTTTATTTTAACATTATAACTGATCGAATATTATTTCCAATTCTAATTTTTAGATTTTCACTACAACATTGATGTGCCTTTCATTCCTTATCTCGATTTTACTCGTTCTGAAAGACCGATTTTATTCAATGCCATCTAATACCAAGCGAGGCCATGGCGTTGTTTTGCTTACATTTTGGTTGTTGATGGTTATCAATGAAACTGTGTCAATTTTTACATCGAAAAAGGGACAATGGCCAGCGCTAATGCCTCGCTACGTGTGCAGTTTGCTAGTTTTAGCTTTGGGCTTCTTAGCACCTGGCATCGCATCAAATCATAGTAATGACGACGCCTATTTCAAGGATGATGAATCTAAAGTAAAACGAACTTCTTTTTTAATCATTTGGAACATTTGCATTAAATTTTGTTTCTTTTTTTTATCTTTCCAACAGAAAACAGAACTCGTTTGGGCCGATGCATGGAAGAATATGCGAATGCTGTTGCCGTTTGTGTGGCCGAAAAGAGATCTAGATATTCAATTAAGGATTTTAATCTGTGTTCTCATACTTATTGTTGAACGTTTCATCACTCTACTAGTTCCAATCTTTAATCAGAGAATCGGTGAGTTACACACTTTGCATGCAATTAAATCCTTAATATATGTCATTTATCCACTTAACCGTCCAAGAATAACTCTTTTAAATTTCAGTTGACAGCCTTGGAGAAAAAGTATTTTGTTGGGATTTGATTTTGGTTTATGTTGGATTCAAATTTCTAAACGGTGGATTTCTCGAGAATATTCGTTACTATTTATGGTTGTACGTAGAACAATTTATGAATCGTGAAATTGAAGTGGAACTATTCTCAAGATTGCACCATTTGTCGTTGAGATGGCATTTGTCGCGAAAAACAGGCGAAGTGATAAAAGTTTTGGATAGAAGTGCCCAAAGCGCGACCGGCTTGATAACCTACGTTCTTTTCCGAATTGCTCCAGTTTTTACCGACATTTTCGCATCCATTGTTTTCTTATCGATCACTTTCAATTGGTATTTCGGTCTTATCGCCGTGGTTACTATGGCAATTTATATGTGTAAGTAATGTGATTCACAATTTCCGTCTATTGCTTGATGATAACCATATCAAATGTGATGTTATAATAATTTGAAACTATTCCAGGGTTAACGATTTTGGTGACGGAATGGGGAAAGAAGTATCAAAGACAAAAGAATTCTTCAATCCACGAACAAAAAACGCGCAGTGTTGATTCTCTATTGAACTTTGAAACCGTCAAGTATTATGGAGCCGAAAAGCATGAAGTGAACGTATTTCGTGAGGCGATTTCAAAGTATCAGAATGAAGCACGCAACGAAGATATGGTTTACAATGCACTGGATAGTATTCAAAATCTGATAATTTATAGCAGCTTGCTCATCGGATCACTTCTCTGTGGATATTTGGTTGCCCAAGCTGGCACACTCACTCCCGGGCAATACGTGTTGTTCGCATCGTACATCATTCAATTGTATGAACCCTTAAACTGGCTTAGCTCAATATACACGTGAGTAAACAATTCACCAGATAACAAATATTGAATACAATGAACAACTCCTTTGTAGTCAATAAAGAGCCGCGATGTGATACACAATAACAATAATATGATAAAATCATTTTTAGTCACATACGAAAGAGCTTAGAAGATATGGAAAAAATGTTCGATTTATTGAAAGAAGAACAAGAAGTAGTCGATGAACCAGCCGCAGTCGAACTACCCTCGGTTGAAGGAAAAGTCGAATTTACAAACGTTACATTTGGCTACACTCCAGATCGGATAATTTTGAAGAATGTTTCATTCACGGTTTTGCCAGGGAAAACCATCGCTCTTGTTGGTCCATCCGGCTCGGGAAAGAGTACAATCATTCGTCTTTTGTTCCGTTTCTATGACATTCACGGAGGAACCATTTGTATTGATGGACACAATATAAAAGATGTGCGGCAAGACTCATTGCGAAAGGCGATCGGTGTCGTTCCACAGGACACCGTTTTGTTCAACAATACTATCAAACATAACATAAAATACGGACGATTGAACGCGTCTGACGATGATGTGATTTCGGCTGCTAAAGCCGCCGATGTTCATGATAAGATTATGAATTTGACCGATAAATACGAAACAGACGTCGGAGAAAGAGGTCTGCGATTGAGCGGAGGCGAAAAACAAAGAGTCGCAATAGGTTTGTAAAATAGAGCATACGAAGAAAAAAGCGTCAAAATCATGAAATTTAAATTATAATGAAAAATTTGTGTATTTTTCAGCTCGGACAATTCTGAAAGCACCATCGATTGTGTTGTTGGACGAAGCAACAAGTGCATTAGACACACAGACTGAACGAAACATTCAAGCTGCTTTGGCTAAGGTGTGTGCGAATCGAACGACGATAATAGTGGCTCATCGACTATCCACAATCATACATGCAGACGAGATCCTTGTTTTGAAAGAAGGCGAAATCGTCGAACGTGGCCGACACGATTTATTATTGAACAGAAAGGGTAAGCATAAACTCTTGCCAACAAAAATTTATTTTAAAATCACGGTAACAAAAAGATCCGTTCTCTAAATCTCATAGGCATTTACGCAGACATGTGGAATAAGCAGCTTCAAAATGACGATACAGATATAACTAGCAATGTTAATTCACAAACCGCACAAAATCGTTGAAAATCAAGTGAAAATTTAGGAACAAATGAAATGCATTAGGCTTAGTAATTTATGAATTTATTAATTTATTTTTACTATTAAGTTAATTTTTTATCAATATTTTGTTATGGACCGATGATGAATCGAAGAAATGTGTTTTTAGAACAGAAATCTACTTTTCCTACGAAAAATCAATAAAAATGCATTGATTCAAGCGAAATTCAGAGTCTTTTCGCATTTTCATTGGGAATTCATATTAAAGTTTTACATTGGATTTAATATTAATTCAAAGGAATCCCATAATAAATGTGTCTAAATTTAACCGACCGACAAATGTGGAAAAAGTCTCATGTCGCAGGGTTGTATACCGTCTGACAGCGTTTCAGTGACATAACTCTACTAAATTGGATGAAACGTCAACCTGAATTCAATACAATATTTTTTGTGCTAGAAACATAAACAAAGGCCAAAAAAGGAAAAAAAAATAATAATGTGGAAATTATAGAAAAAAAATTGAAAATGTTTTCGGTGCCTGTATGGATTTCGCATTGTGCGTGTGTTAAAGCTGCGTAAAATTATCAAAAACAAATCATTACAACCATCGAATCAGGAAAATCTTTGTTCAGAGTTTTGTTTTGTACATTGTTTGTCACCGATTGGACATGTTAAAAGTTAAGCAATTTGTGCGAGAAAATACAGCACCGCACAAAATGGTACAGGAATTATCTGGTGTTACGTATATTTTGATCATTGGTGGTGGAGCATTGATGTTTGTGTTGCTATTCATCTTTGCCAAACGGCAAATTATGCGATTTGCAATTCGATCACGGCGCGGACCACACGTTCCAGTCGGCCATGATGCGACCAAATCAATTAAAAAAGAAATCGAACGTCGTCTTGATTGTATTCAACGGATTGCATATGAGCCACAGCTACTAGACGATGACACATCGTACATTTTACAACCCGATTCATCGCTGCCACCGTACTATTATCGCTTGAAAGCGGTTGATGACATCAAAATTCTGGAGAAAGAGATTGCTAGGCAGGACGGCAGCGTGCGACAACCACGCGACAGTCTCAGAGCATTTCTGTTAACAGCATTGGCCGCACCCATAGGATCCAGTCAACGGCTTATTCATCAGTTTTGTGATATGTACGAGCATGCACGCCATGACCCTAGCGAGTTTAGCAATGAAGAATACGAAGCGTATCGACGATTACTGCTGAAATTATTGGATGCGTAAGTATTCAACATGATATGCATTCATTGAATTTTTCCCATTTTAATTGTTCGTTTGTTTTTCAGAGCAAAATCATTGAAAACATTTTCGAGTAGCCGAAAATCATCACCAAGCCGTACACCGGTAAAGAAACAAACCAAAGTACAATCATTACTCGATCCATCACGTCTCAAACCACCACCAACACAAATCGGCAGCGGCGGAAATATGCTTAGCTCTAATTCACGCATCAATTATGGTCTTGGAATTCAAAATCAACGCGATTCACTCACAACCACTGGCCAATCCAGCGATCAAGAACAATCACCTCCGCAAAGCATTACGCTACACTTAGACGCAAACGAAATTATTACCGTTTCGCCAGATTCTAGTGTCATTTGATAAATAGATGTATCATAACGAATCGACTATTATTCCTACTACTAATATTACACTGATATTCCCTCGGAAACTTTCGATGTGCACTATTTTTTCTGCTTTCAAACAAATAAATGTGTACGGTCCGTAGTACAGCGAACAATGTTCTAATGTAACTGAAAATTCCAAATATATCACAATGTATGAATATAGACGCTTGCATTTTATTCCGTCAGGAAGTTTTGTAAAAAAAAAAATAGAAGAAAAAATTTGCGAAATTTTTTTTGAATCACTGAAACCAAAAGAAATTGATTTAGAACAAAAGTTCAATAAGAATAAACTAGAACTAAACTCGTTTCAAAGTAAAAATTTCTCCGCAAGAAACGACGAAAATCCGAATATTTTCACTCCGTACAGAATGTTGAATCATCCAACTTGAGCACATACAACAACAAAACACAGTGCGCACTAGCGAACGAAGCAGAGAGAAGGGAGACAAGCAATGAATACTCAATACTCACCGTACGTATTACACACAGTCTTCTGTTTTGTTCTACTCTGTTCTGCTTTGCTATACTGAGTTTGCACCGATTTTTTTCTTTCATGACTGCTTATAGTTCGCCAGCGCAACGTATGCGCGTAGTCGTTAAGTGCTCGGTCGAGACGATGCCTACTCATACTTACCTGGTGTAGAGGTTATTCGTGATCATCAAGGCGAATCCTCCGGAATGAGGCTCTTTCATTGCACTTTCGAAGGGGCTGAACTCTGCGATTAACTCTAATGCAGTTAACTCGTGCATACTATTTTTGGTAGCCGGGATTAGCGTTCGCGCTATCCCGAATTTATTCTGACACCATTTAAAATGAATAAAAGCAAATCTAGACAGAAACTCTGTTGTTTCGCCATGGATTTTGCATTTTCCGAGACAAACTCATGCAAAAAAATCAAATCAAACTCATTTTCATGTGATTTGAATTTTCTATTCATTTAATTCCTTTATTTAGAAAAAGAGAGATATGTATGCCTTAGGAGATAAATGAATTTCGAGATAGAATAGATACGATAAAATTAGGTGCATAGTACGAATATTTTTTTTGTTCAAGTAAATGAAATACGGAAATCAATATCAATTTCTGAATGCAATGTCAATTCGAATGAGACTTACAAATATATCGTGGATAATACGTGTATTTAGCAATGCGGCAGTGCTTAGAGCTAATAATGTTATGTATGATTGAGTTGATTCAAAAGACACGAAAAAAGATCTCTCTCTCTCTTTCTCTGAAAAACCGTTTATTGTTTTCGTGTTCATTCGTTGAAGACTTTCGTGAAGCGCTGTTGAATACATTGCGCTGATTGATCCAATACACTTTCAAACGAATAAATTATGCTGCTCCAGTACTTATAGAGCAGCCATAAGATCAATCCATAAAACAGAAACGAAACCAGTTTGTCTAGTAGATATAGCCGATGTAGAAGAACGCGTGCTTTCGGCAATGTTTCCGGCTTTTCTTTGAGCAGATAATAACGAGCGCCAAGAATATAGTTGCCAAGATAATCTATCCAGTTAATCTGAAATGATAAAGAAAATGGTGAATTTACATATGAGACTTTGCTTAAATCTAATTTCACAGAGAAGATTGCTTACTTCTTCAACGCTGAAATAGAAAATTTCTTGGTCTTTTAGAGACATATTTTCTTTCATACGTAGAAACTTCTCATTTTTAAATGTCCAGTTTTTCGTTGTGTAATATTGCAATACTTTCAGACCTTGTGAAATGCGGCGTTGAATACCAATCAAACTGGAATTGAATTTAAATTGGTTGATTGTTTTTTCTTCTAATTTTGGTAAAATACTTGTAAATAAAATCGTATTGCATACAATGGTTTTCTCCGCATCAACACCAAAAGGCCATCGATAAAATAAGCCGGCAAATAGTGGAAAAATATAACACAAAACAAGTGTTGCCAATAATTTGATTTGATTGAACCATCTGGGTACCATAAAGAGAAGCACAATGGGTTTTTATAAAAGAGTTCTCGTCCTTGTTCAACTGCTTGGCCCCATGTCAATTGCTTGTCGTGCGCCAAAGTCTAAAAGTGAACGTAAAATATGGTGAACTAACGAAATATTGTGCCGACGGACCGACCAATCGACATCGTATAGCTTACAATATTTCGAAAATCAACATCTTTTTTTTCCTGCTTCAATCCACGTTCCCATGCGGCTGTGATGATTGCATTCATCGCAACATCTACTGGCACAATATCGGCCGGAAAATCTGGGTTGCAATGCATCGACCGAACAACGCCTACAGCAAAACCATAAATTATTGATTCAATCATAAATAATGCAATTGAGAAAGTTTTTTTTTCTTCTTCTGCAATCATTACCGCGAGCAGCTCCAACCATTAGACCAGTTGGTCCATTCATGCCTTCAACCCAGCCAGGATATGGTTCTTTCCATGCGGCAGTAACTGTTGATTGAATATTAAATGAGCCGCAAAATTCAAAAGACTAACCGAATATTCATTACCAATCGATGGTCGTGCAATAACAATGGGAATTTTGCCAGCATAACTGTTCACCAAGTCTTCGGTGAGCGCTTTTGTGTAGGCATATGTGTTTGGTAGGCCCTTCAGCAATCTGTAAATTAAAATTTAACCGCTAACACACAAAAATGAAATGGTCAATAAGAATAATTGATTTACTTGGGTGTTAAGTACTCCAAAATGTCATTATCCAAGTTCTTGGTCATTGTAACAATGGCCAATGGGTCGTTTGGTGCTGCATAGGCACGTTCTTCCAACACATCTTCATTGCACTGGCAATAAGCGGTCGATACATGAGCAAACACTTTCAGTTGCTTCATTTCGACGGCCAATTTTAGCACACGATCCGTTCCCAAGGTGTTCATATTAACGGCTCCCGCAAGCTCTTGGTCAAAACGCACATTTGCAGCACAATGGAATGCCACGGTTGTTGTGTCGATAAGAAGTTTTCGATCACTTTCACTCATACCCAATCCATCGACCGAAACATCACCTTTGATTACAACAATTTTTCCCAATTGCTCTGGATTCACCTCACGAATTCGATCAAAAATCTACCGGAAAACCGAAAATGAATTCATTTTACGTGTTTGCATTCAAATTGTGGTGCACATACCATGTGATTTATGTAATCATCACGTCGTTGCTCGGGTTCAATGCCACGTTTTGTTCTCATTAATAAGTAGCATGTTTTGATTTCGGGACAGTCACGTAGCAATTTCTCCATCAAAACTTTTCCCATGAAACCTGTTGAGCCCGTCACAAAAAGCACTTGGCCACGGAACCAATTCGCAATACGCGATTCAGATACGGATTTCTCGTCCATTTTGTTACTGTTCGGTGATTGATTCTGTTCTTAAGAATAAAAATAACAAAAATGAAATGGATTATTTGGTTTTCTGCAGAAAATCACATTTTTAAATGTAAAATATGATACAAAAGAATATTCTTCTTGGGATTTTTCCAAAATTTAGTTTAAATAACATCAACTTTATCTTCTTTTTATTCAGAACAACAAAAAACCAGTTACGTGTTATCGAATTTAAGCCGGTTAGATTGCGCAAACGGTTTATCTATGCATTGACTAGTGGAAATTTCTCTTTTCATTGCACCATCGACTTTGTTTGTTTCGATTTCGATATTTCAACATTACAACTGATTTGCATTAGTTCCGAGCAACTGTTTTTTTCTTCTTGTTCATCACACATTCAAGCTACGAGGTTCAATGATCGCTGTGTGAAATAAAGCCAATCGATGGTAATTATATTTGGATGACGTCATTCGAACGCGCAAACCAATTGCATTGACCGGTTTTCGTTTTTCTTTTCATCCTAATCACTGCGGTCGTGTTGCGTGCAATCGGGCTAAGAATTGCTTTGTTTTAGTTTCTATTTTAAGAATGAGCAAAAATAGAGCCGACATGAATCAGCTACTGAATGATTGTTATCGTTTTAAAGTTTGCGGTTTTTCCATGCCACGTTCTTAACGATTGACTGCTTACACATTTCACGGTCACATTTACGCAATTGCCGTTGACGCTTGTGCGTGTTGTGTCACACAATACAGAATTGCGTGTGTTTTTCCACTCATTTTCAACTCTAACGTCTATAATAAAAATCGTAAAAGTGGCAGACAAGAAGCCGCATCAACAGTGGTGTCAATGATGTTCTTCGAACGTCGGCAATTTTTTTTCTATTTATAGTTCAGCGACAAAACTGCCGATTATAAATGAAGAGCATTAAGCACATATAGAAAATACTCGACCAAAACCGCAAAAATAATTGAGTAATGCGAAAATAACATATGAGACAGACCATGATTAAACCATACGGCAATGCACAGAGAAATTGATGATAAAATGTAAGTAAAACAAAATTGCGATTTCCTTATACAGCCACAACAACATGAAGAGCAGAAAAAAACGGTGGTAATAACATTGCATACAACCATCGTCGTCGTCGTCGTCGTCGTCGTTGTCGTTGTCGTTGTCAACAACGAACGATACGTTATGGAACATCAGTGATACTGTGCCAATGGAACGAATATTTCATGTAGTATCATGTAGTATTTTTGCATCATTTTGAAATTTTCCGCATTTTTTATCATGCTGCGATCGATAACCGCGCCGACGGTGAAGAGAAAAATACGTCTAGGAATGATTGGTGAGATTGGTTGTTTTTCACAGAATTGATTTCGACGTGAAACAAATAAATTCATTTGAAAATATATACTTCGGTCGTTAATCTTACGCTCAACGTTTGGTACGCATGATACAGCACATTTGTTAAAGGTCGTCCGTTTATTTAATCAATACTTTGGTTGAGTGATAAACGAAACTGTTTTTTTTTTTTTATAAATTCAAGGCATTTAAATAGAATTTAGCAGACGATTTTTTTAAAAATCATGTGAATGCTATTATATATAGATTCTATAATCACCATTTCCGAATTTAGATTACTGTGAACAAGTGGCATCTTTCGAAATATTTTCAATAATTTAAATAAAAATGAGTACACTTATTCAATGACCTAAAGTACTTTAGGTGGAAAAAAAAACCTCGAAAAAATATTCAAATTTTCAATAGTTTGATTGAATTTAGACGACCGCGTAAAGTGGTATCTCAATTGTTTGTTATTATTACAAAGCAAACAGTCGCAAATGTATTGCGAATATTTAAGAAGCACACCGGCACATATGCACCCAGAAAGTCTTTCGTTTTCGCCAAAACCGTTGCTTTCGTTTGACTAAATGGACGCGCGTTTACGTAAACCACTGCCATTGAAACGTGAAACGTTATGTTTGTGCTGTCTGGTGCAAATGTGCAGACAAAGAAAATGTAAACATTGCCAATTTTAAAAGCATCTAATATCAATGCGTCTACTGGCCGCGACACAGAAGCATGTGTATTGATTGTTTGATTCATCGCGTCTTTGTGCTCGTAAACCTCGCCGCTACGTTTTTAGTCATTTCAACAGTTTGAAAAATATTTGATGAACAAATATATACAAAAAGCGCGTCTGCAATTAATTTCCCAAAAATTATGTGCACACGGAAATAGGTTGAGTCTCGGCCGTTGAATGTGACATTGTTTTTCGTCTAACGAATTTGGTTTTTACAAATAGATCGATATCTTTCCTTCTTTGATAGTTGAGGTTCAATGGATGTTGTCTTTTTCTATTCACGATCAACTATACATGTAAAGTATCTCGATTGAATTGTTGAGTTCAATTATTTCTAAAACCACGTTTATGTTTTGTGCGATTGAATTCCGCTCGTTGACTAATTTGCATTCATCCACCGTATACGGTATTCTCAAGGCGAAAGTTATTATACACTACACAATTTTGTTTTTCGATTGAACTATCTAGCTATTTGTCAACGTTCACTTTTGATGCACGACTGAGTGCACGATCAAACAATCAAATACAGTTAGCTTTCGTTGAGCGAATTTGTTCTCCCTCAATCGGGGCACTTGCCATCTTTGTTTTGCAATCAAGTGCGTTTGTCAAACTTGACCTTTGTTCCCTATACGCATTCTATCATGCAGGTTGAACAGCACAAATTGCAAAGTTTGTCGCATACAAATCGGAGATTCTTTGTCTCTATTTAAACGGATAGGATTGAAATGACTTAGAACATGCGATATATTGATACTAGTCAAAGGTCATTCAAGTGATTTATTCAATTTTGCATTCAACGTTTTTTTTTTTTTCTTCTCTCTTCTCAATTTGAAAAACTAAACAAATTTGTTTTTTTCTTTCGCCGCAATCACAAAATCTAACGATTGGGGGCACAGTGGCGGTGCTCACTGACAGTAGAACATGAAAAACGTTCGCATATGGTCGATAAGAAAGTAACGAGAAGTATCTGTGTCTACTAAATTGCTAGCTATAATTCAACGGCATACTTGCGGTCGGTTTCACAAACGTGATTGAGCGTTGACAATGCGTCAAGTGAGTTTGTGATGAAATATCAGTCATGTTACCGATAATCAAGCCTGAACAGTAATTTTGCGATGCTTTTACATGAAATCAGTTTCGATTTCAAGGTAATTAAAATGGAAGCATATGTCACAAGATCAAATTGAAATAAAAAAAAATTAAAAAAAGACGAAACAAAAACAATATAAGTAAATAAATTTATTCAAGGGTGCAATCGAAGTGATACTTCTGTACCTTCACTCAATTCCAAAATGCAGTTATTGTGAAAAATGTAATTGGTCTTGGTGTTGTTGTTGTTGTTTAATTGTCTAAAATGGCATGAAATACAACTAAACCGTGAAACAAAGACTCATTTGAATGCAAGTATTATGATTAACAAATCAGAAATGATTCGACAGCAGAACAAGGCAATAAATTGAAAGTGAGAATTGGCAATACCTTTACGGCGAATTGATCATATCGGGTATGAAGCAGTAAAAAAACACTATCGTGTGGTCTTCTACAACGATCATTTGCCCAAGCAATTCGGTTTGTTCTTGTGTTCAAAAACCACTCAAAAAAATCTAGTATTAGGCAATCCGTTGCAATTTATCCACCTATTATGAATAATGATAATTGTCTGTATAAATGCCATTTATTTCAAATATTCTTTTTCGTTTTTTTACGCTCGCACTGTGTGATGAAATCTTTTGGAAAACGCGCTAATATGACATGGTGACTTTTCGTTCGTTCGGTCATTTATTATCGGAATTGCGCGCATACACTCGTTCACTTTGATTTTACGCTTTTTAATCGCGTGCATATTATAGATTGAATATTATTGAAGTGAACGACGCTAGAGAGCACTCAATGTGCGCGTCATCATGCCTATGTGAGATGCAAAAACGGATGGAAATGTGTGCAACCACTTATTTTCTCTCTGAAAATTATTGCTTTATACTCCAAACCCACTTGAAAGCGTGTAATGAAGAATAGTTTTAGTCAGCGAATTTTATGAGCACTATTGATCCAAATACTCCGCCATAAGCGGTTGTGATACAAAGGGATATGCGCGATTGTAATAAGTTCAATAATGCGTTGTCTTTTGACGATATGAATCAGCATGAAGTCAATTGCTTGACTTGTGTATGACCAAGAATGCAAAGGAAAGTTAAGAGATGATGTGCATTCATTTGGCTCCGTTTCGATTCGATCAGTTCAAGCAATTCTCGGCCGAAATGTTCGTCTACATTGCAAGACCTTGAAATGCAATAAAAACCCATTTTTTTCGTCGTAAATTATCGTTGTAAGAACTAATTTTTCCATATTTTCAGACGAAACAATTATTTCTCCTGATTCATGTTTCTCACTCTCGGCAATTTTAAATTGTTTTTCGAAGTAAACAATCTGAGGTCCCGATTCATGCGTCTACGACGGTGTGTGCAGTCATTACCTGGTAAAGATTTCATATCGACATCGCAGCGTAATGCACATAATTTATGCGACGAAATGCTTTTTTTTCTTCTTCTTACGTCTTGCATACAACAACACACCGTAAGCGCTAAGAAGACGCTTGCTGCTGATTTATCCTCATTTATCAAAATCTCGCCGATTTTTTCAATAAGTAATTTTAAATTATGCAGTCGCAATTTCTCTCTACTTCATTGAATTAAGCGCGCGCGGAACATACGTTACATTAAAAAAGCGGTAATTATTCAAAATTTAGCAATCGAACTGTGATCAAGTTGTAACATGGTTGGCCGAATTTCTCTTTAATTGTGCAATAATTTTGGTTTTTAATCGATACGCGACGACAGTTATATACGCATGTAGCATACGTGACATACGCGACGAGTGCTAAGAACCATTTACACCAGGCAATGCAACCTTTTATATTAAAATTTAAAATTGATGTGTATTTTTCTGTCGTTCATTACTTCGAATTTTTATTTTGTTTGTGCCAAATTGCTGAGTGCTGAGTGAGTGTAACGGTATCAATTGTATTTTCGACGTGAAACACCCAAATAATGTCATTTTGAATTAATGAGCGAGTAATTTAGTGCGAATTGTTGGGAATTTTTCAGTCAATCAGACTTTAATTGCGATGCAAATGTCAAATCACATTACATGACAAGAAAAACACTTTCCACTCACAATCAGAGAATATTTGTCTTGTATGCAATTGCTACTTGGCTGGTAGAGATAAATTCCCATGAACCATTTTCGAATAACATTAAGTTTGGTCATGATCGTTTCAAATGCATTAGAAATTGATTCGTGACGTTTTTCTTCTTATTTTGACATGAACATCAATTTAAAAAAAAAAGTTTTCTAAAATAAAATCGTATTTACGTCTAAGTAAACAATTATAAATTCTAACAACTTGTCCACAACACACACTGTGACTACATCTAATAATAAATTAACATAATTATAAATAGAAATTTATAACTCACATGTTACTTCTCTCAATCCGCACAATTGCAATATTAATGCAAAATATTCACTGGAATTAGATATTTATCGAAAAAAATAATATTTGAATTGGACCTAAACTCAAATCGAATGCACGAAATACTGTAGAATCCGTTGATTAATTGTAAAAAGAGCTGCTTCTAGCTACAAGCGTTGTCTATGCTGGAGAGTCACGAATCAACTGATCGTATGATTTAGTTGAGATACTTCATCGATAAAGAAAGACCGAAACGACCGTTTTGAGAAGAAAAATATTGTCGTTCCGGGTGTTATTGTTGTTCGCTCCGTCATCCCGTCCGACGGTTGATAGAGTGAGAATGCACACACGGTGTGGAAATAAAAAGCAAACTTACCTTCCAATATGTTGAACGTATGAGTCGGATCGAGTTGAGTGTATTTGTGTTCTGATTGTACGTTCAGTTTGTGGTTTGGAATACGCCAAGTTGATCGATGTTTGTACGCATTCAATCTTCACTTGAGCGAACCGATGTAATTCAAGCAGAATACTGTTTGTCGTATATACACTTGCCATGCTCATAATTATTATGATTAGGAAGTAAATCATCATAATTGGTTAATTAGTTCGCTCTGGGCGAATCACTTGCGGTTCGGTTGCATTTTCATGTACAAGCAAATTTTTGTGTGATGAAAAGTGTTTTTTGTTCATACATCAACTAGTTTGTTTATCGAACAAATTAAAATTACGGAATATTTTATATTTATTTCCATCTTGGTTGGGTTATGTTGTGTTTTTTTATGTTCTAACTACTTCTAATATCAGAGAGCCCGGACAATTACGTCAATTCAGATCTACTTCAAAAGATACTAGGTTTTTTAACGAGGCTAGAACTCTTTTTCCGGTCAAATTTGATTTATTCTATCCAGCCAGAGCTTGGCAGTGAACAATAAAATAAAAATAAGTACAATTTTATGTGAAAATTATAATGCTCATTGAATGGGCGTCATTCAGAAAGAGAAAATTTTCGAACTTTAGCGATTTCCCCTTATCAAAATTGAATAAAAACCAAAAAAAATGCATTTCCGCAGCTTTTATCGAATCTACAAAGGAAATTCTATTTCAATAATTGCTTCACAAAATTTATAACATTTTCATTTTTTATCTTCTCGGTTGGTTAACATAGTATTTTTATTGGGTTGTAAATAAGCGCTTGTAAAAATTGAATCATATCATATGCATCGCTGCAAAGATGTTTGCCTCTAACGCAAATGATGACATACCCATTAAATACTGAATGCAAAATCTATCGCTATAAATCTAATTAAAAACCGCATTGTGTGAATCGATTGTTTTTGTTTACCAAACTTGAACTGCATTAGTTGATTTCGACATCAATGTAAATCGAGTGAAGTGTTAGAGTCAAAGGCATTACTCTGTGTTCAGCGCTGGCCAATTGCTCGGCGTAATGGCAGTTAATTTATGGTATCATTCGTGTTTAACAAGTTCAAGGAAATACGTCGATTTTGTAGTCAACAGTGAGCAACGAAACATCACAAATGAAACGTTGAAATGTTTTAAACCTTCTCACTCCACTGACCTACGCTAGATGGAGTGACAGCCCACTGAGTACCATCATCGTCAAGCTAAACAGGTGAAAATCAAAATGCATTGTCAATTTGTTTGTAGCATTTTTTTTTTATTCATTTTCTCTCATTGATGAATGTTGACAACAAAACATTGATTTGAAAAGAAATATTTGATAATTTTTGACATTCTTCAATTTCTTAAAATTAGCTTTTACTCACTAGATGTTTGTTTTTGTCTTTTTCAGTAGAGATTCGAACACATCGAAAACAAAAAACAATGATATAGTTGAAATATGTTTAAATATACATATTTTATTCTGACTTAGCCACTGCATTTATTATTACTATTGATAAACCATAATAATTGAATTAATAAATCAACACATATTCCAACCATTCGCTCCATTTAGTATGATTGTCTTTTTTTTTCTCCCATTTATAGCAGTCACGATACCAACAAAAAATCATCTCTCATCTGAATTTTGGTTTTTATCACAACAGAGTAACAATAGAGTGAATTTCCCTGTTTCTCTAATCTAATCAATAGTTGTCGGTTAACGCACTCCCATCTAGCTCTCTTGCTCACTCTCACTCACCATGAGTTCTTCATAATTACACAAAAACCGTTCAAAAAATTTCACATCAATTTATTCGAATTATGTTTGCTACGGCTAATGTTATCTCATCCGATGCACGAGGTATTCATCGATGAATGGCGTACCACAAAAACCCAACCAAAATGTTAATATGACACCAAAGCTGTTGATTGGAATTTTTGATAGGCTGTTTCCATTCACGTCTACAAACATGATATTCTTGATTGATTGATACCTTACTTGATGTGGATTTTGTTTATCTTTTTTTTTGCTTCATTCGCTTTCCGTAATAATTACAAATATCTTGCTGACCTAATGAATAATTGAATAAATAGATTGTTGTCAATACTATTCTTATTACTATCCGATGCCTAAAATATTTCCTTAATTAAAGCACTGGATTTTCCATCTCAACCAATGTCCATTCCGAACCATACACACACACACACACACACACAGAAAAAACACTGGAAAAATGAAAACTGCTGAATGTGTTTGCAAATGTTCCAAATGTGGATAGTAAACACTCGAGTGTGTAACTTTGATCAAAATTAACTAGCTTAGGCCGATGGCTGCAGCACAATCGGGAAACCATTTTTTCTATTCTATTTGTTTGTTACTATTGTTTGACAAGGGAGAAGCAATAAGCAATGATACTTTTTTCAATGGTCAAATGCATGCTTTCAATTCAAATAATCTAAACTTTGTTTGTTCAACGCATCCATAATCAATGTCTCACGATTTATTCCAAATAGTTTAAGTTTCTTACGAACAAGTAGCATCGAACGATAATAATTGATTTGAAATGAGAAACTTTTCACAGAAATAGAATACACTTGTGTTAATATATTGTCTCGATGTTTGAAAATTCCTTGTTGCAATGTTTAAGGACCCAAAATGATTCGCAGAGAAACATTTTCCCGGTAATCCTGTATTGAGATATGTAAGTGTGATTGCATGTTAAGTGTACAGATCGACTGAACTTGGAAGCAAACGTGAACTCGTTGAATGGTAAAGTTTTCTTCTGGGAAAATGATAATAACAACGAGCACTGTATAGTTTTCGGGGAAAATAATATGTTCGATTCGATAAATGCCGATATCATATGAAATGTTTATGGCGAAATGGTTTTTCATCAAAATGAAAATTGAATGCTGTATACATTTGTGCAGAGATATGCCGATGCAAGGCAATTCACGTGGCACGTGCCACTATTCTATATGAACATCCGTTCAATCTTCAACTAATACTTCAAATTGATATTTCCTCATTCTTTTCGAAATTGAATCGAATTGCTGACTCTCTTCCACTTTAAAGTATTCACTACTCGACGGTGTTTTATTGAAAAAAATAGATCAATAAAATACATATATGACTTTTCTCTCTTCTCTCTCTCTCTCTATCTCTCTTTCTCTCTCTCTCTCTCTCTCTCTAGGTATATACTTTGTAATCACTTTGAACTTAACTACTTGCATTGAAAAAACACATTCAATACATTTTAGAATCACTTGACTTGATGAATAGTTTATCATTAATTTTGCGCTGAGTTGCTTTATTCGCTTTATAGTGTGCACCATCGAGGTAAAAATGCATCGATTTGATATAAAAAGTGCTCATTTCCATTTTCAAAATTGTTTACCACTTTGGTTTTATTTTTAATAAAAAAAAAAAGAAAAACACACATAGAATTTGAGTCACTCTTCTTTCTAAGCTTATTTTTTTTTCTTTAATAATAAACACGCATATCAAACATTTATAAAAACCATTAACTATTTATTGACATTTTGTCTAAAAGTGTTTATTTTGGTTTCTGATAGCTGCATGTTGAAAAGGGCGATTCAGTCGAAATGCTATCAGTTTGTCAGTTCGAAATGACGCAACACATACATTTCCGTATGCATAGCTGGCGGTGGAACGTGTTAATCTAGGGTTTACATGAGGAAAAAAATTAATATTTAGCTATACTTCTTCCATTCATTTGACGACAAATATGCAAGTTGACTTTTTTGTTCTACATGCAACATCTGTACAGGCAGCCTTTATGTCCTCGGTACTGTTTATGTTCGTGTCTCTTTGTGTACCATTTTCAAAGGATGAAAAACGAGTAGTAAAAGAAGATACAAAATACATACACAAGCTCCCAACTGCGTAGACAGTTCCCAGGGATGTTGGCGGCCTTACAGCACATGCAGATTTTCACAGCTCCTCGATTTGGTGATGTCACTGAGACAGATTTTCTGTAAAATTTCTTTAGCCAAATGAAGTGATATGTGTGTACGCGAGCTACGCATTTTCATGGCATTTTGAGCGGCAGCTTTTTTGTCACGTGTCTCTTTTAGGCGAATCTGCGTGATGCAAACGAGACGAATATAATATTTTGAAATGAACGATTCTTTTTATAGACTGAGCAAATCACGAAAGCAGTGAAAAGTGCGAGAAAAAGAGCTGGTAATATACGGCATGAAGAAAAACAAAAAAAAAAACACGGTGATGATGCAGAGAATAAATGTATTCAAGCTTGTTTCGAAGACGTTAAGAGCATGTATGCAATGTGTCGATGGTCGGATATTACAACTCGATGTATGTATCGACCTTGAGCCCAGCTCACAACAGCGAACCGATAATTCCAAAAGATGTTCAATCATATAAAATTGGATAATGGTGTACGCATCACATTCACATACCCAATGATACATATTCAATATACAAATGTTGAAAAATTGTGTGTGTATGTGTGTGTGTGTGTGTTGTGTGGGTTGGCTCCCTTACCTGTTTCAAAATGCCTACGAGTAATTCGTCTACGTTGTGCTGGATTCCGCTTGATGTTTCAATAAATTTTGCATCGATGGACTTGGCTAATACCTTACCTTCTGCCGTTGGTATAACACGTGAACGTGCCAAATCGGCCTTGTTACCAACGAGAATCACCGCTTTTTCCTTTGTAACATTCTCGCGCCACAAGTACTTTACTATATTTTCAGCCTGTTGAAATGACGAGCGTTGTGTTATAGCGTAAACTATAACACATGCATGTGGTTCGTAAGTTGACAGTGAATTTTCCACCTGTAGCAAATAAGCAGAGCAATTTGAAGAAGAAAATCGAAATCTGATAAGAATATGTGTGTGTGTGTGTGTGTTTTTCTTCCACTCAGCTTTTGACTGATTGGATTTACTTTGTTCGCATCCACTCCGTACAACTCATTCGTCATGCAAAATGTTTCGAATTGAAACCGTGCATTGATCGTTTTAGCAACGCGCAAAATAGGATGGAAGAAATACAAAAACGGTAAGCAAAATGAATGAAAAGGAAGACGAGGAAACTTACACTCATTTCCGAGCTTGGATGGTCTATGAAAACGATTTCACTTTCCTCGCCATCCAGTAATATGGAAACAGTCTTTTCGCCGAATTCATCGTCTGTACGCCGTCGAGGACCCAATAGACAAGTGGGACAGAAAAAGAAAGAGAACAATAGAATAAATAATAATGACGTAAGTTCGTTCAAATTGAAAAGTACGACTAAGCTAGCATCTCTTGACATCTGGATTTGTATTCGTTATGTATTGAATTACTTTTTCAATTTTTTTTCTTATTTTTTTATCAAGAAATAATGCCGCATTTCCACTGCAAAAAATACAAACTCGAAGAAAAATCACGAACGTTTCTCTCCGAGACGAATCCCACTCAAAATCCGAAACGCTTTTCTAAATTTATTAATTTGAACACACTTTCCAATATTAGATAAGAAACTGCGTTGTAATGAGAAAAGTCATTCGCATGGAATTCTTGATTTTATTTCTCTTCAAGTCTATAATCTCTTCTAGTTACATTTATGTTTATGACAGATTTCAAATGGAATATTCCAATCAAGTTTTTGGAAGAAATAGTCGTCGTGGAATAAACGAGATGCGATGCTCCTAAATTCTCATATTTCATCGAGACTGTTATTGTTTCGCAGCCAATTCGATCGAAGTCAATCGAATTATTCTCGGAAATATCGACCAACAACCTACTTCATATTTATCATTGAAAGCCCGGCCGAATAGGGAAAAAACCGGCAGATCAGATTACTTGTTGGCAAAATTCTGATTGAAGCAACTTTCTCCTCCATCTGACTAGCAGCCACCATGTACAGTGCACAATGCACATACATCGTCCAATTTAATTGATTTATCGGTAATAGAATCAGCATTATTTCGACATAATAAACCAATGTGCGCGACTCGTCCAAAAATACAACGCATTATTTCATTGTCATCGCGTTGGTGTCATGTGTTCATTTTGAAGAAAACTATAATGTGCGGCATCGTACATGTATCCCGAGTCAGATGCGTTTAACGAATATAGAATTATGTCGTTAGCCGTAGCACAAGCTGTGTCTCTATTGTATCAAAGCGGATGATAATAATATATGGACATAAATGGTGTGGCAACATCATATGCCATCACCTTTCCGTTGTCATGGCTAATGCCGGGGTTTAGTGTATTGTACGTGATCGGGCTAATATGTTATCCGACAGTCAACTGATTCAGACATATGATTATTTTTTTTCTCTCTTGCGTATAATTGATTACCTACATCATATTCTGCAGCATGACCAAAAGGGATTTAACTCGATAATATAAGAATAGCCTGATCTTTTGTGTTTATGTGCGTGCATACGTGTATGGAAACTGCTTAGCCGTTGTGAATTGATCTCAGGTGCACCAAGATGATGATAGTTAATTTGAATGGCACGAATACAGAGAAAATCCGATATGAAAATCCGAAAACATTCTATATCATTATCATCCAATGTTATGTATACTTGAAAGAGATGCTTGTTTACGAGGTCAAAGAAACTTCAAACGGAAAATTTAAAAGGAAAAAAAAACAGCGGTCATTCTTTGAACTTACCCAGGCTTGCGTCGTATGTGTGCATATATCTGTGATAAGGAAAGAATGAACAAAACACGCATAAAAAAAATATGTAGACATAAAAAACGAGAGCTATGACTTGCAGCTACTTACTCGGACGTCATGAATTGTGAGACCAAAGCCGTTTTACCTGTCCCAGCATCCCCAAAAAGCACCACACGATATCTGTGATAAGGAAAGAATGAACAAATACGCATAAAAAGAATACGCAGACATAAAAAAATGAGAGCTATGACTTGCAGCCACTGTATTCTAGGTCGGCTCAATGTAATTTGACAAATACTACAGGTGTGGATCAATACAAATTGATTTGACAAAAGAAGCGACAAATAAATAATAATACCTTGGTGGCGGTGGGATGTCTCCACTTTCGGTTGGCGACGGTGGCAGCGAATCTACCGTCGTATATCCTTTTCCGCAGCAAGACCCTTCAAATGGTGATCGTTCACTTGCTCTGCAATACAATTCCGTATATATTCGTAGCCATGTTTAACGAACCAAACCAATTAACTAATTATATTATTTGATAATTAATTGGCCGTGAAAGAGAATAATCAATATATCAAATCAACAGCTATCGACGCACAATATACACATCTAATCCGCTTTTCATACACGAGTTTTTTTTTTCTCTATCTTTCTCTTCCTTCCTCTTCATCTGTCTTTGTTCGAGTGGATTTTGAATTATTGTCCGACGATACCAAAACAAATGTTTTGAAGCTGTGCGTATCTTTTTTCCCTTGTGTTTGCTTCTCTTCTCGCTCCAACATTTTTTCCGTTTATTGGAACGGAAAATCGATTTGTATTCGCTTTGTTTGTACAACAAACATGTTGATCAAACTTCTTTGAGCGATTGCTAGCAACCACCTTCGAAGCGAACGAAGCTAATTCTGTATCGAAGCAAAAACAACGTGCAAAAATGAACTCCTGCCATTCTTATATTGTGTATAACGCTTGATTATTGGATCAATAATGTAGGAGGTTGGCATATTCATTCCATGCGCTTCTTCTGTTGCTAATTTATCACCGAAATTGTGATGGAATTTAATCAACTTGCAATAAACAACAACAACAAAAAATAAGTCAGAGAGGAAGAAGTGTGCCAGAGCTTCGGTTTTATGGTGTTTCAATAACTTTTTCGGTTTTCAGAATTCTTCTTGATATTCATCAGCCCTCTCTGATTCATATACATACTACATTAAAATGATACATTGGCGCGTGTCGTCAATGTAGTCGAACTGTCGTGTTTATGTGAAAAAAAATGGCAATAAATAATCAAATTCCATGAGGCGGCATCCAAAAAGCTTCCGCTATCATTATTACTATGGATATTTTATTAATGAGAGTAACGTTAAGATATGGATTCTTTGCCAGTTTGGTTATATATTGTGTGTCATTGGATCGTTTGGATGCTATCTACTAAGTGTTTTGCTTTTCCAAGTTCTTTTTTTTTGCTCTTTCGCTCATGCACAAACTGAGCACGATTCTCGGATACATTGTTTACGATTTTTCATGGGCGTTATATCGTTGCTGTTTTCTTCAGAACTGAACAACCGAGTAAAGAAGAAAAAAAACAGAAGAATGTGGAAAGAAACGGTGGCGGGAGGGAAATTAACCGATGAAACCATCAACGCGCTAAATTCAAGCGTGTTTCATTTTGCTTAAGCCACTTTGTATTTTATGGTTATGTGGGTTATACAGTCATTTTTTCTAAATAATAAGGGATGCGATAGGGACAACCATTATTTTATTCACCGCGGCAAAACATCAATAACAACTACAACAAAGAAAAAGCATGAAGAATGCCCTATTTTTCTTCAATTTTCGTGGAAAAAAAAGGTGAAACGAATAAAGAATTTCCGCCGAGAATATGAGAAGAGCGCCACTTGAGAGTGGAACGTATTTCAAATTTACGCGAAAGATTCAATTGCATGGCATAAAATATGTTGTGAATTAAACAATTGTTTGAAAAACGACGTGTATGTCGTTTGCCAACGTGAGTGAATTGCAAGGAATCTTTGGAATGCTTTTCATTAATCGCTTGAAGTTCAAGTTCTACTTTGTGTTTAAGTTCGTGTAATTATGGCAAACTTAAACGACGTCCAAGTGGAAGAAAGCAAAGGAAGAGAAACGGGAAAAAGGCCATCCTCTTCGTGATCACATTCAAAACCCGAATCATATAAAGAGAAAAAAGGCGAAAAACCCTTCAGAAAAATTATCCAGCCTCGAAAAAGTTTCTTTATAAAACGTCCGACATTCCGAACAAGAATTTGCTTCTACAAAAGAATATACGCAGAAGAAAAACTCAACGCTCATTTTGCCCTTCGAACAGAACACAAACACAAAAAGAAAACACAGTAAACTCGGGAATTTGCATGCTTCTATACATTTTCGATGTGACAAGAAAAGCATAGAATTAATGAGCTCCTTTCAGGCATAAACGGGGCATGTTGTTGATGAATATGGATCTATTGGTGAAAAACGGCGTAGACGGTGGCTGTGGCAACGACACACAACAAATGATTTTCGAGTTGGAATATACGACAAAAATATCGAAATGAAAAATTTACTATCATTAATTTTGCATAAACAGTATTCCATTTAGCTCATTATTTCGAAATCTTGCGAAATGGTTTTTTTTTTCCTGCGCACTGAAAGCGGTAACCATATTGATTTCGAGAGATTTTCGTTCATGACTTCGATTAATCAGATAATAGCACAATAATTTATACGCCAAAAGAGACAAAAAAAAATTGCAACATAGAATTTCAACGAGAAACAATGGAATCCAAAGTGTGTTCTCTTCGTAATACATATTACCTTCGTTTTACGAGCATCATTTTATTTCAAAGAAATTGACAAATCAAGACTCTCGTTCGCCTTTTCTCTTTGTTCCCTTTGAAAGAAGACGAAAACCTATTTTGAAACAGCGTACTGCTCTGCATAAAACGGGGTGTGCTGATGTTATTACGTTGAAAATTCATATTCTTTGTGGTAATTACAAGAAAATTCGATGTTTTCTTCTGTCTTTTGTTCTAGTCCTCAGTTGACATTCAACATAATATTCAACAACATGTGGCAAGATTTCATATTTCTATAGAAACATCAAGACATTGGGAGGGGAGAGCAGAGATAGAGAGAGAAGAAAGAGCTTTGCATATTATTACTTGCGGCGCTTCAACAAATCCCATATAATAATATATGTATTTATATTTTCAAGCTTAAAGACAATGATCAATTTTTATCCTAATGTTCGTTAATGTTTGCACATTTTATCGTCGATTCAGCTTAATTGTATTTTATCGTTGGAGAAACGTACAATGTAAATCTCTAGGGTTTGAAGTTGGGTGCTTACGTTATTTCAATAAATTTGTAAACTGTCAACGAAAACTGATTCAACAAACCATTGAGCGCGTCAATGCCACTGCCACATAAACACAAATTTTGTTCTAGGTCAAAAATGACCCAATTTTGTTGATGTTATTGTTATTATCAAATGCGAGACAACGTTTGAGTATGATTGTCGGGTGATACAACCATTAACCAACAAGGATATGTAATTGGTGTCTTCATTAAAATTGCACATTAGTGAAAGTTGCCTCGAAATTTATTTTATTCTATACTAGTTCTATATAAAGAGAAAGAGAGAGAGAGAGAGAGAGAGAGAGAGAGAGAGAGAGAGAGAGAGCAGTTAACCTCTCATTAAATGGTGGTCCCCTCATTTTCTACTCCATTGTAATCCATTGGACGGATCTAACGCTCATTAGATGAGACTGGTAAAGATGGATAAAAGTAGATAAAAAAGAGCAACAAACAAACGAAAGGGAAAATTACGACGGAATTGTCACGCAGCAGTTGTTAGTAGATGAGAGTTTTCATTTGTTATAGCACTACCAAAGTTGTTATGTTCGCTTCGGATGCTTCCTCAAATCGAGTGCTCTTTGGTCCTTGTAAACCGTTTCTTTCTTTTTTTTTGTTGAAATAAATACAAAATGCGTTTTAATGACCAGCACTTTGTAAGCTATGTAGCCCATTATGGCCATTGTGTAGTATTCAATGGTCACTTGGTCAATAAATGTCATCACATCGTCGATTAAAGTAAATATAATAGTAACGCTGTTCACAACATCATAAATTATATATGTGTTTTCTAAGCACCACTTAATATTTGACATCGTTCTCAAATTCAATCATTTTATCCCTCCCGTCGAGAGAGAGAGAGAGAGAGAGAGAGAGAAATAGAGGAAGGAGAAAGGTCAACATCAGCATTTAACATCCGATTGTTTTTGCTATTTGCTAACATTTCTCTCGCAAATACATATCTTATTGCATAAGTTACAGTTTTGAGCTGGGCTGGAATTCTATGACATTCCACCAAAATCGTTCGGAATTATTTTTTTCGTACGTAAGACTATATTGGAGTGAAAGAGAGATATTCCACTAATTTTCATTATCCCAGCCAAATTATTGCGATAACAATCACCCTTCCTTGAGTTATCGGAATAATTCCGGTAGAAAAATGAAAATCAGTGGAATCGCTCTCTTTCACTCCAATATAGTCTTACGTATGAAAAAAATAATTCCGAACGATTTTGGTGGAATGTCATAGAATTCCAGCCCTGTGTGCGACGATGAAACTTGAATTTTATTTATCTCATGTTATTTCCGTTTTGCTTCGATTTCAGGTAGACTCAAATATACTAAAAATCTTTCGAAATGTTCACGAAAATTCTTAAACGTCATTCATTTTGCATAAATTATTTCCAGATTGAGCTCTGTTGCTCTCTCTGTGTGTGTATGAGCAAATATTGACATAGGATGAATCTGAGGATGAAGGTTTTCCTGTTGCATATTCAGATTTTCAAGTAGTGAGCATTTTGGATGTCCGGAAAGCTTTTATCATTTTGGGATAAGGCATTGGATAAGACAACATCACATTCTTATAGTCGCCGCTTCGCTTTTCCTCCCCCTTTCCCTATTGAAATTGATGTAAATGCGACTGAGTTTGACTCACCGACTAGTTGTCGAATTGACGCTGGTGTTACTGCGAGACCGACGTGATATTATTGAATCACCACAATTGACAACGGTTCCCTTGCTGATGGAGAATGTGCGCAAGCGATACAAATCGTCACTTTGACGAGGATTATATGGTCGATCTGGCAAAGAGCAAACCCGAGGCCGTTGGTGATCCGGAACTGCAAAATAGAAAATTAACGACATTCATTATTATCATTTCAAGGCAAGTTTAAAGGTCTAATTAATTCGTGTAAAGGGTAATTCGTTTTGCATTTCAATCGTACATTTGCGACGGTAATAATGGAAAGCGTCTGCTCGAAATATCGTTTATAGCATGAAAGCTGGACAAGTGTTAGCAGAAGTTACTTCGTAAAATGAAAATTTGAAATTTGATGCGTTAATTTCACCTTCGCAGACGCCGAAGAGAAGCAACTGTGGAAAACTCGAATAAACTGGCATAAAGAGGCAGTAGACGGCGGAACAAGTAGGGATTACAGCGTTTAGTATGCATTTTCATGTAGAATTACTGTTACATAGCAACTTTCAAGATTCGTTGCCTTTTTTCGTTCTCGGTAAACTAAATGGAGAATTGAGGCTGTGAGAATGAAAATGGCAATACAGGAATAAACATTCTGAAGCGCTACAAGAAAAAAAAAAATTCGCAAAAGTGAATCATGAGTTCTGAATACGCAAAAGTGAACCATGAACCTCCTATGCTGCCCATGTAAATTCATGTTTCACTTTTGCATATTCAGAACTCATGATTCATTTTTGCGAATTTTTTTTCTTGATGCGTTTCAGAATGTTCATTCTCACAGCCTCAATTATGCTCAATTGTTCAAACAGACAGAGGATTGCAGACAATCAGAATCGAGTGAACACAATATACACGTCAAATATTACAATATCTGCGTTGTTTGAGTAGCATATTTCCCTTTTTGAGCATGTGGTATTCCGTGCCAGACATTCGTTGATGCGATGATTTATTGCGATATATATATTCTTGTATATCGTTAATCCGATTCACACTCCACAATATTCACAATACAATAAATCCGCACTTCGTTGAATCGTTTTGCTTCGCTTTCGATAGAAAATGCTTTGTAATGTTTCGCAAATGCGCATCGTCTTGTGTATAGTCCCCATGACACATCTGCCTTCGATTCACACACCATTGCGCACGATGAATGAGTTTCGAAAAGCTTAAAAATGATTTATTGATCTCTGCTGAGTATTCATAGCGTGCGCGCGGTTTTTCAACATTCGACCGAAAGCAATGTTTTACAACAGCGATGAAGGGAAAAAACAACCCCACTCACATTTCGCACAGTTAATCCTTCGCTCCCCCTTTTTTACGGTGAATAAAAACAAAACGTTTTGTTCGAATCACTGGGAATGGTGTATCGAATGGTAAGACACACGCAAGAAGAAAGCTTTTCATCACAGACATGTTTCGAACAACTAACAATAAAAACATAGACACGATATCTCCGAAATACCGTATGGCCGAACCGAAGAAAGAAATAGAAACTTTGTTCCAATCTTCTTTTGAATTTTGTAGACAGTTTGTTAAAATGTTTTAATTTCTCGTGTTTTTCATGTAAACGTTGGCGAGCATCGAATGATCTGAAATATATTTGGCAATAATCGGCACAGAAGCCCATCGATTTATTAGAGACGGAGGAAAGTTTGTTTGTGCTTCAATTTGCTTCGCTTCGCTTTTAAAATTGAAAATACGGCAGATGCTTTATCCGAATAATAATAGCAACAACAATAATATGCATAGCATCAACTTTCCGCCATTCTCCGTTTCAATCATTTTTCCAGTGATTTATGGCTTTCATTAATATTCAGTCACGGCGTGCGTATCATTCTGTTTTTTTTTCTCTGCTTCTCACTTGATTCCCAAATAATTTGTTTCGCTTTTGTTTTGATTCGATACCAGCTCAGCACCTCACCATCTCTCTAACACCGTACACGCAACGACTGTGCAAAAAAAAAAAAAACGGATGGAACAGAAGGGAGAGGGGAATAAAAGCAACAAAACTCAAAGCAAAGGGATATTGCAACTTTTTTGACCAGAAAAAACGCCATCTTACGTCGTGCCCGTAAATTATTTTACTGTACATTTAGATGGTAGAGCTTGAACATAAGTTCGACACTATGCATAAACTTGGAAAAAGAGCTTGATAAACTTGATGAAATATATATACTTTATGGTCGTTGCAATACCCCTATGACTCAAAGTAAATAAAAGAACAACAAAAAACGTTTATTTTCACTAATGCAAATTCCTTTCTGTGCCCACGCTGAACAATGCCAAAAGCGTTCGAGGGAGAGTGAGAAAAAATCGCGCGTGTTCTTGCTATCAGCATTTTTCCTATTTTATTGCGGCAATTCTTGTGAACCATCTTTCCTGGGCGCTCACTCGCTCGCTTGATTACAGGTCGCATCACTCAAACAGTTCAATGTCGAACGCTCATATAATTTTCCAGGCAAATGGAGCTTTTTCGACGTACCTTTTTTTAAGTGCATTTGTGAGACGCAATATATGAATAACACAAATGCCGATCATAGCTTACTAGTGCACCAACATACACTCTGTTTTTTTTTTTCATATCATTTTTTTGCTTGTTTCGCATTGAAACTTTCAATATTAAAGAACAAAATGGAGAAAAAATTGTCAAAAAAAAGAAACAAATAAAAACAAAGGGCATTTTTGCAAACAGACAAATAGCCGCCACCTACTTTGCGAGTTCATGGGGTCGGTGTTGTGTATTTGTTATATCATCCAACATTGAGCTGAGACTGTGTCGTATACAAATTGGTACATAAAGCGAAAATGTATATGGGGCGATGTTGATGCTCATTTCAATCCCACCGAATTCGTTAAACAACTTTCGAACACGATAACAAACAACAATAGAACAAAAAATTACATGCTTACGTACGACTTTCATTCATTTAAAATAAATATACTTTGTGTGTGTCTCTTTCTCCCTTTCTGTGTATTTGTGGACTAGCTCGCCACACTTTGAGCGCATATTGCACGAAAGAATTTTCAATTTCACCGAACTTTTTACAGCGCACAACAATCCACTGTTGCTGCACAAACATTGAAAATATGTTTGAAATTATTCAGCTATTTGCATCACAAGAATGTCAATCGTGGAATTTGGCGTATTTCGCATCGAATAGTGGTAATATAAATGTAATGGCACATTTCATGTTAATAAAAAAAATCCGTTGTTTTTCTCTCCTTGAACGAGAGAATTTTACATCAAATGAGCAGATCTCAAGGCTCAGTGCGTGGTTTCGGGGAATAGAGCGAAAGAGGTCGTTTTTACATGTCTGCGTGACAAATTTTCTCTCCTGCATTCTACAAAGAGCAGAAGAATACTATTTTTAAACCAATTTATGTAGAATTCTAGCGATGGGATCGCACGCAAGCTAATTTTTGTTTTTCCGTGGTTATATATTTGCATAAAATGGTTGGGCCGCAATCATGTTGATGCTATAGAGTAAGCGGTCTTAAACGTCAATTGTCGTGCATTTTTCTCTTCTTGGCAATGTTAAAGAGAGCGTGACGAAAAAGAAGAGAGAACGAAGCGGAGAAAAAACAGAGAGCACACGCTTCACTTTGATGCGGAAGATATTAATTCAGCATGAGAAAGGAAATGAGGTCAAAAAGTCGGAATGCAATTTCCGTTTCCAATTCCATGGCAGAAAACTCGAAAATATCCAACTCTCTCTGCACTTGTTGATGATGATGCTGCTGATGATGGGTCGAGATGGACGCAATGTGTATATTAAGTATTGCATAATAAACTTTCGCATCGCAGAATTGGATGGAATCAAAACGACGCAAACATTTTTGTAATTGAACCCGTGAGCATAAAAACAACGTATTGACTCTTCGCCGATGAATACGAAACGCAAAAAAATCGCCGAACAAAGTGAAACACCAATCTGTTATTGGATCAATATGAAACATGAAATCGTTGGCCACTATTTTATTTACGTTGCGCTTTGTTTCGAAGCGCGGCAAGTGTTTCATTTTGTTCCAGTAACAGAACGTTGTATCACTTTGTTCGGCGACGCGCTCAATGTACTGTTTTGAAAAAATATGCATGATTTGATACAGTTTTGTGCGAGTGCAACATAAATTCTGTTCGCTTGAAAGTGAATCGTGAAATATCGGCTGACTATAGAAATTGTGTTTCACTTTAATTGAAACAAAAATGTTTGATACACTTTTGAGTCCATTGGTATGATGATTCATTTTAATGGTGGTTTTGGTCGTGATTTGTCTATGAAGTGAAAATTAACTGATAAGGAGCGCGAATTTCGATGTGCCGATAACACCAATAGAGCAGAAAAAAATACTATATGAAAATCGAAAAAAAATTTAAACTTTTTTTTTCGACTGTTGCCTATTTCGGATCGTCTACATGGGAAGTTTGTATGAAATCCTCGGAACGCGGGTTCACGCTGCTGTGAATACATTGGTTTATATAGTGAAATCTATACATGGCCAAAACACGGACGCATAACACCCATTCTATTTCGCTCACACTTACGTGCAATTTTTACCCGTATAACAAAGTAGTCTGCTTTACTGTTGAAAGAGAAAAAGATGTGCGCAGTAAAGAAACAAGAACGTACATGTTTCAGCAACGTTAAAGTGCACGTAAGTGTGAGCGAAATAGAATGGGTGTTGTGTTAAAATGAATCATCATACCAATGGAGTCAAAACTATATCAAATCATGCATATTTTTCCAAAACAGTACATTGAGCGCGTCGCCGAACAAAGTGATACAACGTTCGGTTACTGGAACAAAATGAAACACTTGCCGCGCTTCGAAACAAAGCGCAACGTGAATAAAATAGTAGCCAACGATTTCATGCTTCATATTGATCCAATAACAGATTGGTGTTTCACTTTGTTCGGCGATTTTTTTGCGTTTCGTATTCATCGGCGAAGAGTCAATACGTTGTTTTTATGCTCACGGGTTCAATTTACTTTCCAAAAAAAATTGAATTATCCATTGAAATCTGATTGGTTAGTCTGTATCATCAAAGTGTTGGCGATGATGCACAACTAAGAGAAGTAAGAGTTTTCCCTTCGAGAATAAGGGTGATGATGAGATGAAGGGTGATGTTGACGATGGTGGTGGTGATGTAAATAGGTTTAATCGGTGCTAATCGAATGAGTTAAGATGTAATTATTAATTTACCTGGTAATTCGAGAAAATTTGAAGTGCGCCGTTGACGTCCTCGTGCCGATGTTTGAAATGCTAACGGTCCAACATCTTCATTTGAGAATAATGATGAATTCGACGCACCACTTTTGATGGAATCACGTGAATTGCGACGGTTTGCTAAGAATGCCAGTCCACCCTATACACAAAATATATATACATCATTCCGAATATATGAAAAATGAAACATGATTCGTCGGATTAAATGAAATTCGAAGACAGTTTCTGTATCTGTATCTCCTGTGTAAACGTAGTCTTAAATGAAATTATTTTCAATTATTTTCCTCATTGGCATTTAATGAACGTGTTTATGTGGCTGTGTACGGATTCATTCGGCTATTTTCTCTGAATATACCGAATGAATCACAATTGCCATTCACATGTACATCAAAGGCAATAATATCTATTTTTTCAATGACAACGACAGTAAAAACCACGCGCGCACACGCGTTCAATGCATTACGGATGTATGGTTTTTCTCCCATGTGGAATAAAAGCATATTACATACTATACAAACATTGTCGGCGTGTGCCTGTGTATCGTTTATCCTTTATGGCTAATTTGCTCTTATATTCGTACGTTTGTACGCTTTTTCTACGTCATTCATCGAATGAAATACGAATAAAAGAGTGAATAAAACAAATGTGGGCCTTACTTTTGAACTGCCACGACGTCGATGATGCGATGCTACAGGTGCTCCGGCGTTGCCTTCAGTTACGGCAGTCAGGTCACTTGTTGATTTTCGACAATACAAAGACATCACACTATCTGAGCATGTACGATCCAGCGTTGAATGCGACGTATGCAAGGCCTACACAAGTGGAGAAGGAGCAGGTGAAGAGAGAGATAAAGAGAAAGCGAGTATCGCATACGCGATTTATCACAATTCTGCTTTAAAAACATACAGAAAATTATGCTAGCGTGCTGGCAAACGAACGAGGAAAACGAACGAACGATGGAGCATGTGTACGTCAGGAAAATGGATATTTAATGGAAATATATACATTGCTTATCTCTCAGTATGAAAGCAATTCGCAATCATTGATGCAAAGAGAGGGAGGGAGAGAAAAATAATACACATACATATATACTGACAAACTGTAAAGCTGTCGGGGTTTCATTCATCTATTGTGGAATATGAGGAGTGAACAGTGTGTCTGCATATTTATTTTCTTGTCTTTTTCGCTTTTCGCGTCGCGTTGCATTGCACACAGGCAGCGAGAGTGCCAGAAAGATGGAGAATAGCAGTTGAAACGGGAATGGTAATTTGTTACATAAATTTTTAATTACATTTCTTTTGTTCAAACAATAAGTGCAATTAAATGAAAATGAATATTGAGCGGGGGTGGGTTGGTTGCGCGAATGAGCTAGCGAACGTGATGACATTGACAGAGAAATGAGAGGGAGTCTATGTTGGGTTCACCTGATAGCTTGGATTAGAAGTAATATTCATGGCTTGACAGCGCCAATCAGAGCTACTTTGACGGCTGGTATCAGTGGTAGTGGTGCTTTCGCCGCATAGTGCCGTGGTCGCCGCACTTGTTTCCGATGCTGCCTCATACGATATTGATTGTCTTCGCTGCTGCTGCTGCTGTTGCTGCTGCTGCTGCTGCTGTTGCTGTTGTTGCTGTGGCGATGACGAAGAAAACGATTGCTGCTGCTGCTGTTGCTGCTGCTGTTGGTGCTGCTGTTTGAGTCCATTGCTAGAATACATCAACGAATCTGTAATAAGAGTTGAATGCGGCGTTGATGAATGCAATGGTTCGGACGATTGTTTTATCAGATCAAAATTTGATGGTGAATGTTTGTTTGGGTGCTGTTTATGCATTAGTTCGTGCTGTGGTGGTTGATGATGGTATTGCTGCGTTCGTTTATAGTGCAATGATGATTGGCGCTTAAGTTTTATCGAGTGTGTCATCGATGATGGGAATCGATACGGTGAATTGATTGGGGATGTTGTTTCAAATTCATGCATGTCAACGGTGTCATTTGGTGTGGCTACACTAAATCCCGAACTACTAGCTGAGAGATGAAGAAGAGAAACAGAAAACCAAAAGCGAAATGAAAACATTTTAGCGGATCTTAGATGATGGTGGTTTTTATGCGATGTTTACGAAGCGTGACACTATATGGGATTTTGCATGAAAACAAAACACATACGCGCCCCCTTTTGGACATTTTATCATTGAAACCCAAGTAATACATGCGAACCAATGGCAACACATATAATACATAGTAATTTGACATGTTTCGTTACTTGGGATGTGACATTGACGCGCATTGCCAACATCAAAGAAAATAATTTTTCTGAAATATTCTGTTTATTTTCTAATTCGTAGTTTTTTTTTTAAACATTATTTTGGGGGCATGCATGCCGTTAGATTCATATTTTAAAATATTTTGAATGATTGCAAAATTAAAATTTAATTCAGCTCATATTTTTTCTCTATAAAACTCATAAAAATGTCTGTGGTTAATGTCATCGCTGTTATAATTATGGACACGTTTTGTTGTTGTCATATGATTTCACAACATTCCATATTGATGACAACATATTGCGAAATTGTGAAATATTGCGAAATCATATTTAAATCCAATTTATTCTGATGCAGTAATGCCAACTTTCTGCATAAAAAACTATAGATCCCCAAAAGGGTGCGCTGTTTTTTTTAGAGAGCCCAATAGAGTCGCGCTACGGATGTTTATGGCTATGGCTATATGTCTAATCAGATTTTGCTCGGCAATATACTATTGAGGTTTGTGTTTATACATATTTTGGTAAGCTATATAACTACGCATATTACTTGAAGCGGTTAAATTTAAGTGTACACATATCTAAAATGAAAGTGACATTATAAAAGTTTCATTTCCAATCGCAGTAGTCTGCCTACACATTCTCAATTTTGGAATATTCATCCACGCCACGGCTGTCGCTGCCACCGTCGACGATAGACGCTACATTATGATAGTCAGTATCGCATTTAATGAGTGACATTGAGGTTTTCGCTCCATGAATATTGCCAAATGATTTCAGCGCTTTCAAATATTTACCAAGCAATCATTAAATTTCCACAAAAATACAAGAACAAGCGCAGAAAAACGAACGAACAAACAGAAAATGAGAATTGAAAATTATAATTAATGAAATCTACGGATTCATTTTGATTACTCTACGAAAGGAAGTTTTTTTTTTTCTAATCTCGTGCTCTTTCAATTTTGTGTTTTTGTGTTTTGGTTTCACTAGAAACATCAGCTTACCGATGGATTCACGTCGCGGGCTTACCGCGTCGAATACAAATTTCCGTGGTGATGATTGATGCGTTAAATATTTGGGGCTTCGTTGCTCGAAGTAACCGCTTGATGGTGATGTATTTCCCGGCATATCAGCGACGCAAGCCATTTTGCTAGATGTGGGCGACGGTGTTGAATACGTAATTTTCGGACTACGTGGTGGCTCTTCAAGGCTAAAATGCTGCATTTCATCAAAGTAGGATGGTGTGTCCGTTGCTTTAGTGCCATAAGTGAATTTCTGTGGTGATTTCGGGCTCTTTTGATCTCTGCGAGAAAAAAAATTGGGAAAAACACACTTTGCAGTCGAAATGAAAAGAGCTGAGAAAATGTTTGTGCGACAAAATTACCGATATGACTTTGGCGAATCATTTGAATCTTGTGACGATGCGTTTAAGCTGTTTCTCGATTTCGGTGAATCGCGCGCCGTTTTTCTCGGGTCGAACAGATCGACTGATGGTGTTGCACAGTCGTCCCAACTTTGCTGTTGAATTTTTGGTGCGCGAGGACTTGGCGGTGGTGATCGACTACAAGCCATTGACGCAAATAACTTCGCCTTCAACGTATCACTTACGTTTTTACCGCCACCTAATTATATTTAACTTATTTTGACCACAGCGTTGAATGTGAACAGATCCAGTTTCGTTCTAATATAAAAAGTTTATTACGAAAAAAGTTAATGAGTTGTGGAGGTTTCCAGAAATCATAAATGCAACATCAATCATAATGAAAATGCAGTTCGTTACGCCAACTTGCACTTTTTTTTACTGCTTTCTGCATAAAGTGCGCGCACTCTGAAAATTACGTTTTCACGATGTTCAGAGTTACTTGAAAACTTGTAAAGTCATTGGAATATATATATACCGAAAAGTGTAATGTAATATATTATGGGATTTTGGTTAAACACACTCCTCGTTCGCCTCGTTATAATTGCGTAGTCTGCATGAGTTTTTGCCACGGCGATACGTTCACCGAATAAATCGTGTCATTGCTTATGTTAATGATTTCAACTAGTTGAATAGGCTTTAATGTACTACCATAAATATACATTTTATATTCATTCGCTGTGCACAGTAGAAATATACACAGACACAAGACATAAATCGTTGAGATATGATTCTGGATGGAGGGAAAAACCTTGCAGCTGTTTTTGTATCATAAGTCATGAGTTATCTTTTTCCATCCCACTTCCTTTTTATATCTTTCTCTGCTCAAATGATACTCTCGCTTTAGTCGCATATATCATAAATATGCAGAAAAAAAAACATACACAAAAGTCATTTTACATTTCACCAGTCAGAATCGTGGCGCAGCTCTCATCTTTTGCACAAACATGGAACACAAAATCATCGCGTTCACTAAATTTTCATTTGGAAAATGTTTGCTTGCTAAAGCGTCGACGAAATGAAATTTGTGTTATTGCCTTGCAAAATATATGGCAAACCGCATATTTTTGCCAACCGTACGAATTCCATCGATCATTATTATTTTTTAAAAGGAAATACATGCGCGCGTTGAAATGAAAACGAATTGAATCAGTGAAATTTCGTTATGGAAACAATATTCGAAATTCGTCGAGAAAAAAAAAATCCGTATTCAGAATAATCCAATGAAATGTTTGTACTTTGGCTTTTGGCTGTGGAATTGTAAAACAAATTAGATGAAATCAATCTGAATTGTAGCTGTTTTTCTGGTGTATTCTGTAGTTCATGTTCATCGTAACGGAATTTTCTGCGTATTTTTTCCCTTCTTTGAAGGTAAATCAATATTCTGTTCGATGGAAATGACTATGTTCAATAGATTCGTTTGAAATAATTCTGGATACCAAGTTCGTCCAATATTGCAAAAGTTGGGTGGCAGAAAAAATAAAAGTCCTTTTTACATAGAACCCGATTACGTTGGATATGTGAATCGTTGGCTTTGATACCATTTGCATCACATGAAGTCACACTGGCACAATGCACACGACAACTAACCTTTTTTTTCCACAGCAGCACAGTATCATTTCACTATAGCCACCGTTGCTATTGATGGTAAACCAGGCAAATATACCTTTCAAAAGCAAAACGTTTATTGTTTCTAAATTGTTGCTGCAAATTCACTGCAATGGAAAGAATGGGATATAAACTCGTGCGGAATTGTTCCAAATGTTTTCATTTTAATTTAGAAACTTGTTTTAAGTTTGCACGGAAACGCACGCGGTGCACTGCCACCGTCAAGTATTTCATATCGTAGAACGTATTTATAATTTTAACTTATACATTTTACAGCTTCGCGTAAAACGTACATGAAATAACGTTTGCTGGAAAATATACACATTCGTTCATTCATTTTATGCGCGGCAATCATGAGTTCGTTCCGTAAGTATTGTCGTTAAAATTATTTCCGAGGTGTGCATACAGCTTACGAACATACATCGTCATGCATGCGAATCGCACGTATTCCGTACGATACGGAATTTAACGACAAAATCACAATTGAATGTTTCACGAATAAAAAGTTTTAACGAAGAAAAATCGGTTTTCAGCCAGGACTCATACAGTAGGCTCATTCCACAGTATTTGATTGAAAAAAAGAAAACACGAAGATCCAAAAAGTTCAACTCACTTTTTTTCCAGGTAGAGATGGTCTCATTCCATTATTTTTACCAACAGTGGAATACTTCGTATACTGATTCATGTATTCAGTTGGAACTCGGTTGACCGAAGCGCCATCTAAAGAACCGATGGCGAATTCATGATGTCTGTTGTCTTCAGTATGACGTTTGACAGAACGGAGAGTTTACTTGATTGTATTGTCATAAGCCTTAGATTATCTAGGTGGTGTTTGCGCTCAATATCAGTTGTCAAATTCAAAGTGAATAGGAGAGTTGATTTTTACCTCTCTTTCTTGCTTCCAATTTATTCACTGAAGCAGAAGTTCGTACATGTACAAGGAATGCCCGGAATTTCGATTGAACATCGTGGATGAATGCACAAGGTAACCAAGCTTCCAAGTTTTTTCTTCTCACTGAAATACTTTCCACAGATTTATGTTGTTGGCGAATTATATTGATTGAAAAAGGCCGAATCTCACGAACTTCGTAGACGTATAGATTCCGGGCATCCCAATGGACGCATAGTGCGTAATTGATCTTTGGTTGGCCAGGTATTTCAGCCTCGCAATAAATTCACTCACTAACTTAGTGTTGAATGCTTATAAAATTCGAAATTTATGCAAACGGAAATGCCACATCGTATTAGGATGCAGCTTTGAAAGTGTGATGTGCTGTGCTATCCTTTGCTGTGCTATCCTTTTGAACCATATACCACACGCACGATTCACCACACGGTGAAAGTTTTGCTCTCTTCACTTGTGTGCCAATGTTTTGAACGATAAAAAAGTACACACACATACCGCGTTCCATACAAGGCGGCCGAAGGGAGCAGCCAAACCGGACTAAACCGAAACATCGAAACATGTATAGACATCGAAACATATATAGACATCGAAAACACTTGGGAGCTCACGGCTCACGGCTCACGGCTCACGGCTCACGGCTCACAGCTCACACTGTATATAATATTTTGATCTAATTAGAGTGGATTTCAAATGTACTGACATCAATACAGAGAGACAAACGCCGGCAGTTTCGGTTCTAATAAAAACACCAAAAACGGTCATTTATGGTCATCAATGTTGTCTTTTCTTGTCAGATTGTATTTGTGCTCGAATGAAAGGAGGACAGCAGACATGTCAACTAACCGGCAGGAACACGTAACAATACTGATATTAACAAAGAAAAACCAACACAGTAGGGTGTACGAGTGCGAAGAATAGAGAATTCATTGGTAATCCATCTCGAGATCTAACACTCCATTCTTTTTGCTTCTTTTCAATTCACATCTCGTCTTGGATCGTGTTTTCAGCAATGAAAATATATTATTGCTGCGAGCAATGTTGCCGTTATTATTCGGGGTCGTTTCGTTTGTCTAATCATTTTTCCAGCTGGTCTAAATGGCCACCGACATTCATGTCGAAACATTTCCGTTTGCTATTCGAAGCGATTAGTTATGCAATCTGTAGACAACTGTTGCTACGGGTATGCGCATCGTCGTTGTGGTATCGATATTGTCCCATGTGTAAAAGTATTCTTCTGTTTATAAAATATTTCCAATGAATCAATCACCAGACGATCAAGCCAATTGGATTAATTAAGAAAAATGAACTTTAAGCTAGTGATGGCTTCGAACGTTCGTTCGTTCGTTCGACAATTTAAAAAAGAATATTTTTTGTTCGTTCGTTCGTTCGACATTCATTTTGTTCGATGTTCGGTCCGAAAAAAGTTTTTTTTTTTATTTCAAAATCTCCCGAATAAACTTGGTATTACTATGAAAAATTATAATAAAATCTAATAAAAGCATGAGGTGTAACGATTACATTAGAAATTTGATCAATACATCGAATTTTGTAATGTGAAAAAATTTTGAACATCGAACAAAATGAATGTCGAACGAACGAACGAACAAAACCTTTTTTTAAAACCATGTCAAACGAACGAACAAGCGTTCGAAAGTGTTCGACGGCCAACACTACTTTAAGCCGATGAAATTGAAACTTTTCCGCGCAAAGTCATAAAATGATTGAAAAGTTGATGAGAATTTGATTACATTGGAATTAATCGAGACTATGTTTCATCGGGAAATGTTCCACTTGGGAATATGCAACAGTCTGTTCATAGCGCATACATACGCTATATGTACGCAAATTTTAGCTACTCTTCGTTATGAACTGGACGCGTTATCTGTGTGAGAAAACGATACCATCGAGAGTGTTTGAAGAATTAAAATTAATTCAAATACTCACAGGTTGTGAATAATTATGATTTCCCCTTAGAGATATCCACTGCAACATTTGCCGAGATGTTGTGCGATTTAACAGTAACGAGCTACCTCGGTTAGTGAAACCACTCACTTTTTGGTCGGTCATTGAAAAAAAGGTTTCTAATGAAAAATTTAAATTCTTCTATGCGAAATTGCCACTCCAAACGCCATTTCGATTATCTAGTGTATTCGTGCGAATGCGAAAAAGTTGGCGATGCCGTCCAGTTGGGAAAATGTGTAGTATCATGAAATCGACTTAATTGAATTAAATTTGAATTGTTTGCATTTTTTGTCGTTGTCGTCGTCATCGTGATCGTCACCTTCGCCGTGGCTGTTCTTTATCAATAATGAAAGTTTATTCGCCTCATATTCCTTATAAACTATGACTCTAAAGCGTAGACAAGTATGAAATGTCCACTGAGAATACTTGAATGTGTGCTTGAAAGTTATTAAATAAAAACACAGCAGTATAGAGAGTGATATATAATAGTAGCATGGAATTCGTTCACAGTTCAGTTCATGTTGTTGAATTGAAGAGTGCAACCACTTGAGGCAGCCAGCATATCGGAATGCTCACTTATATTCGGATGAAATGCGGAAAATACTGTACACTTTCCGGCCAATGAGATTGCTCTTTACGGGTTGATTTTATGGTTTCTAGCATCGGTATACGCATAAATCATAACTATAATAGTTTTTGAACTCGTTCACAGAAAGTACTTCGTTTTTGGTGGTTTCGATTCCCGGTGAATCATGGTGAGGAGCAGCGTTGAGGTCATTCTGAAGCCATGGTAATATATATTGTATATTAATATCACCATTGCTTAATATAAGCGTGATTGGGTTATGGTGGGTGAAAACAGAATGTTCTAGAACGATTTCGTCCAAGTTTTTGATTATTTCGTACATCTAAAAATTCACCATGATTGGGTGTCATTGAGAGTCCGAATCATTTATGCTTCGAATTGAAAAACGTAACCAAGTGGATTACCTTTCTGCGTTCTTTAATCTTCTCTAATGAAATTAATTGTTATTTGATCGAGATATTTCTCTGCAGATAATGGAGATGGTAAAATTATACTTGGCACTTGATGTCTGACGTCTTTTGCTAGAACACCTTTAAAAACATACGCACGCACACCACATACACCAATTTCACCACCAGCTAGGTCTTATATAATATATGATGAACACTGACGTTGATATAAATAAATGAAAAAGCATCGGTTTTCTGCTTGTCATTCTGGGTGCGTTGAGCGCGCATTTGAAATACAAGATGCTTTGTTTTTTCTCTCTCTCAAACAAGCAAACAAACAAACAAGTAGGACGCAGTTGTAAAGTATCAATAATGAAATATCGCAAATATGAATTCTGCTAGAATTTCATGCTTATCTCATACACCATATGCGTTCTCGTGTGTGCGTATTTTCATTTTCCGCGTTTTTCCATTGTCTTTATGTTATTATGTTTGACGATACGCGATTGTGTGCTATATACCTTAAATTGATGACAAACCCCACTGTTGAATGGCATTCAACGGGTTTTAAAAGCAAACGACATGAACACATCAGCAATAAAATGGGAAATTACTTTTATTGTTTTCACTCTTATCGACATGGAAACAGTTTCCGTTAGGTTGAGCTTTTGCCCGCGAGCACAGGGCACACACACGCAAATTATTCCGTTACCTGTCAACTCATTTTCGTATCTAATTAGCACGAATTTTATATAATGTAGATTTGCTTAAATAATAATCACTCGATATCAAAAAGTTTCCAATTACAAGCCGGGAAAAGCTTTTTGTTCAGCATTTGGCGGCGCACGCAATTCAAACAAGATTGCATGCAAATATTCGCTACGAATTTTGTCCTGATTGCTCGAAACGACATGATGACATTTAGTCTTTTGTTCCATCTGTACAGCACGAAAGAAAAAACGATTCGGGTACGTTAAATTGAATCGACTTCATTTTATATACAAACACATGACAAATAATTGCACACAACAACACGCAAAATGATTTTTGACACATCACGTGGGAGAGAAAAAAAAACTTATCTTT